TTTATCAAGCTGAATCTTCCTGGTACCCATTCTTCGTTCTTTGGTGGTAGAGGAGTACGACAATACTGGCCAGGCATCAAGTTCCATACTGACGATAACAAAAACGGCTCTCATTAGCGGCAATTTAGCGCCAACCATCCAGAGTTAGTAAACTGAGCACAGCCTGTCATGGCTACTTATATAGACTCTGAAATAGTCAGGACTGTCACAATTAACCAATCATTACATTCCATTTGGCCTGGCAGTCTGGCAGGAAAGACAGGAATTTCTTAAAATGGCAGCCATATTGACAGGAATAATTTAGAAAATGTTAATTAACAAAGTTAACTTATAACAAAATATGCAATGAACACTTAAATTACATGCTTAACTTAATGCACTTAAAATCTGGACTAAAAGCAATCATGGTTATAGCTTAGAAAAATGAACAATTGATATAAAAAGATTCCAAGTGCCAGGAATTTGAATTTTCCCTCCTGACAAACTTAGAGGTCATACCAGTCATCAAGATTATTATGGAATACAGCAAAGCCAGCTAACTATATTTGGAAAGTAACTTGGGTCTTAGGTAAATAAGAATTGCATTCTATGTTCTTACATGTAAAATAATAAGTATTTGTATATGTTTATGAAAATGAAGTCATTTAAAGCTTTGAATCAAGGTAGACAACTCTTGTTGGCCATTTTGATGCCAGGATAAACAAAGTAAGTAATTAATCATTTCTTAAAGTGTAAACCTTCTTGCAGTGACCTGCATAGTCCTAGAGCCTCAGAATGTCCTATATCTTGGTCTTAATTCCTTCATTTACCAGAAAATTATCTAAGCACATAAAATCAGCAAATATGAATGGCTGAGGTAAGTTCAGGAATCCTGACAGGTAAGTTTTAAGCATTGACTGAACACTATTACCTCATTTGTCAATAAATTATGCTAGTTTGATGTTCAAATTGTCATAAAACATAGTTTGTTTTCAACTGATATATTCATTACAAGGTCCTAAAAGTAATTTAGTTGATAATCATTCACAATCCCTTACAATATGTACAATTATTTGCAGTACATATTTTACATATCCTTCGATGTTTGAAAATTGTTTCCTTTAGGGATTTTGTTTTTCTCTATTTTATAAGCATAATTATATACATATATATAATTTCACTTAAGTGTGGTATACAACCTCAGTAACAACATACAGGATCTTTAATAGGTGTAAATCAACAATTAAAACTTCAAAAATATATAAATTCATTTATTGAAAATAATGTTAAATATATTTTATAAAAGCTAGAAATATAATCAACAAGAGTAATTAACAAGAGCTGTCCGTAAGACAGCGCGCTCGACTTTTTTATTGCTTGCCAATAAAAAAAGTTTTTGCAGTAAAAGGCAATACAAGAATCTCTGTATTTTTAAAGTGAACAATGGCCATGAGCATTAAGATATTTAGTGAAGAATTATTTTACTGAATTGTGTGATACCCTTGAACACTGCAGCAAAGTTTGAAATGTTTAAGTCAAAAGAGGGCTGGTAAGAAAGAAAAAAAAACTTTTTTAGTGCTTGCCTATAATACAAAACATTGACAGTTAAGGGCCATAATTCAAATAAAATCTTTGACAGAATTACCTTCTCCTGGACATGTTTGGGAATCATGATTGTAAACAAGTATTCCAACTTTCAAATTAATATCTCAAACAGTTCAGTCAAAAAGTGGACTGGTACTAAAAACTTAACCAAGATTCTAAGTCGATAAAAGGCCTTAATTTTTAAAACAAATCCTTGACAGAGTTACCTTCTCTTGCGTACAGATGGGGGTAATGATGTGAAATAGCATTAAAAGTTTCAAAGCAATATCTCAAAGGGTTAAGGCAATAAGTGGATTTTACCCATATTCAATGTATTTTCTAAGTCAAAAAGGGGCATAATTCTGTCAAAAACCTTGACAGAGTTATGTCCTCTTGTCTGTTGATGAAGGTCGTGATGGTAAACAAGTATGGTCAGTTTCAAAGCAATACCTCCAATGGTTTTGAAATAAAGTGAGGTGGTACAAAAAACTTAACCAAGCTCAATACACTTTCTAAGTCAAAAAAGGGCCATAATTCTGTCAAAAACCTTGACAGAGTTATGTACTCTTGTCTGTAGATGGAGGTTATGATGGTGAACAAGTATGGTAAGTTTCAAAGCCATACTTGTAATACTTCTGAAATAAAGTGGGGTGGTACGAAAAACTTAACCAAGGTGTGACGCCAACGCCGACGCCGACGCCGGGGCGAGTAGGATAGCTCCCCTTTTCATAGAAAAGTCGAGCTAAAAACTGATAAAAACGTTACATATAATAAGATAGCCGAAGACCTCTCACATGAGATCAACTGCTAAAAAAGGTTTTATGTTATTAAGTCATTGGGTCAATTTTTTGTGGTGGGACTATTTCACCCCTGCGAAAATTCTTCAAATAATTTTAAAATAGGTTTCACTAAACAATGCTAGGTAGTCACTATCTAAGCTCTAAGACATGTAGTTCCTCACGATAACGTGTTTTCCTATACCGAGTGACCCCAAGGGCAGGACAAATTTTGATCTAAAGGGTATGATTTATAATAACATTAAAATCTTTATCAAAGATCAACTTGGTGACAAATATATATTCAGTAAAGAGCCATTAAGTTATGTTGTTTGCCAAAACATTAAATTTCGTGGCATCGTAGTTTATTAAGAGATTTTAAAAATCATTTTATAATCTGTTTCCTATACATTTCTACGAAACAAAAATGACACCAGGGCAATACCCATTTTTACCCAAAGGGAATGATTTATATTTTTGTAAAGGTCTTTTAGGCAATGCTGCATTTTAAATATTCTTTCTATACCAGGTAATTTCACACCAAAAATAACATAAACTAAATTAACCCCGGGGTTGTGCTTATTTTGACCCTGATGGCGGGATTTATATAATTTTATAGCAGACGACACAAGAAGATGTAACATGCCAATTTTTTACTTTTTTGTTTTGTTTGTTTCATTTTACGCCTTTTCCCAACAGTTTTTCAGTCATATTATTGTACATTCAGAGAGGAAGACTTTAAAAATTCATTTTAAATATATTTTAGCTCCTTTGACCTACTGATACATCATGCCAGAACCATTGTCATAACTTCTGTTGAAGTGAAAGTTGAAAAGAATAAAAAGGAGGGGATACCAATTTTTTTTCTTTAAATTATGGGTCACAACAGAACAGTCTATACAAAATGGAAAACATACTATCACAACTAAATCTCACCTGTCAGCACTGTGGTCAAGTGCAATATAAACATTTAGCGTTTGCATGTAAAATTGTAATCTTGTGTTTGCTGAAGACAATAACATTACTTAAAAAAAAGTTACTTTTAAAAAAACATGCTTTAAATAACATATATCCAAGAAAACTTTCATAACTGATTTTAACGTGATTGCAACTGATATCTAACAGTGTAATTCTTTATGTGTATATAAATAAATGCAAAAAGGCAAATATACGTATAAAGATAAAAAAACATAAGGGATCACAACACAATTAGAATTTATGTTTATGATATGTAAAATAAAGTAAAAGAAAATAACAATATGCAATTATATTGCGCTCAGAAACATATATATCAGTAAGTGATTATATAAAAGGGCATACCATTCATGTTTAGAATACAAAATATAATGTCACTATCTTTTTACTACAATATAAGCGACTATATCATCAGTATAATTATCTATTCACTAATACATAGATCTACTCATGTCTTGAAAATGCTTCACATATGAGCCTACCATGACAAATCCAACATAATGGGTTTGCGACCAGCATTGATCCAGACCAGCCTGCGCATCCGCGCAGTCTGATCAGGATCCATGCTGTTCGCTTTTTCGTTAAAAAAGACAACTGTTTCTATACTTGTTATAGGGTTTGTAAGCGAACAGCATGGAGCCTTATCAGACTGCGCGGATGCGCAGGCTGGTCTGGATCCATGCTGGTCGCAAACCCATTATGTTGGTTTTGTCATGTCACGGCTCATATTATTAAAACAAATGTTATTCGTACAATACCATTTCCCCTAAAACATACAAACATAAATCAGAATATAACATAAATGTATGATTCTAATTGCAATTTAATTTACAATAACAAGATAAGAGAATTTATATGTGCAAGCATGTTAGCCAATCCATTTAACAGTTAATAATTGTTAATGTAACCCTAACCACAGTAAATATCTTAAATGCACTTGCTTTTCATTCATTCTACATATTTATTATTGAATAAAGTACAGTGCAGGTCATGATCAGGCAACATGGATGTGCCTATTGATCTTGTCTTAACTGGTCATATTGGTACTGGTATATTGGTTAGGGACATGCTAATCTTGAAACTTACGCTGTGAAACTGTATGGACAGAATGTACAACCTTGCCTCACTCATTTCAATACTAGAGCATTCAATAATTATAGGTACTATAGGTACATCATAATGATGTCATGGGATTGGAATTAAGGTGCCCTGTGTGAGCACTAACGACTGTGGAAAATATTTTCTGCTTATGTTTTTTTCTGATTTTATCACAATCATTGTATCTGGATATGCAAAACAAACAAAACTTTACAACTTTGTTGATAAAAAAAATGAAAGGCTACAGAAATAGTTCGAGAAACTTCAATACCAATGTTTTTATCTTTTTATTCTAAGTCACATTGGGAGTGTAAAAGTCATATGGCGACTTTCAAACTTACCGGTTGAGAAAGACCTTATTTAAGGAACGAGCGGGCACCTGTGTAGAACTTCAAGACAAGCTTTCTCACAAGAAAGAATCAAAAGTCCCTGGTAGGATTGGAACCCACAGGTAAAATAAAAATTTTAAAGTCGGCTGATTTTACCTCTCTTCTTTGGAGGCCTCTTCAACAATAATCAAATCAGAAAATTCATTTACTATCTATAATGTCATGTATGATCATTACCATAAATAGAAATTTTGTTTGCTTGTTTTGGGTTTAACGTCACATCGACACAGTATAGGTCATATCGCGACGTTCCAGCTTTACTGGTGGAGGAAGACCTCAGGTGCCCTTCCGTGCATTATTTCAGGCATGAACGGGCACCTGAGTAGAACCACCGACGTTCCGTAAGCTAGCTTGATAGCTTCCTCACATGAAAGAATCCAAAGTCCCTGTCGGGATTCGAACCCACAGCGGTGAGGGGCAAGTGTTTTGAAGTCAACGACCTTAACCACTCGGCCACGGACGCCCCTAAATAGAAATAAATGAACAAGCTCGCATCATGGGAAAGACATTGGTGAAGGAAAACTGACGTATTTCATAGATCTAAAGTAATAAAAAAACAACGTCCAAGAGAAAGAAAATGTAAAAAAACGTTTGTTGTTTTTGTGGATTTTTTTTTTCAACTCCTAAAATTCTAAGCACAGGGCTTTTCAAAATGCCCCATCTAAAATAACAAAGGACCATATACATTAATCGACTTGTGAATTATATATATATATATATATATATATATATATATATATATATTCACACATATCTTTACTTACGGGGCCTATTTATAAGACCGAGTTGAGTGGCATTATTTTATGCAGTCAGTTTTTATATATGCCACTATGTAGGCATATAATGACATTTCCAAACAACAGAACTAAGGGGTTCTAAGTTATATATATCAACTATATATTTAATTTTACCATAGGTGAAAACATATTGACCAACAACATAAAACCCCATTAAAAATATATACATTTGTGGGACATATATCATTTACTACTAAAACCGGCCTATGGGCACTATGTTAGAAGGGTAGCCTACGCCCCCATACATCGTTTTAAACATGCCAGAGTTGGGAGGCCTTATGTATGCCCCACATTAAATATAAACCCCACAAGTATGGTCTCAAATAGACCGATGCCCCGTAAATGGAGGAATGTGACTGTATATATATATATATATATATATATATATATATATATATATATATATATATATATATATATATATATATATATATATATATAATATATACATACGTTTTAAGTTTTCCTAAAATCTCAGTAAGAAATAGTAACACATTAATTATCTAAAATTAAAAAAAAAACATGGAGATAAAATAAAGTTAATGTACGAAGATTTCTTAAAAGATAAAGGGATTAAAATTTCATTTTCAAAAAGTTTCAATTTATAACATAAATGCAAGCAGAATTTTGTAAACGAAAGTATAAATATTATTGATACATTTTGGAAAGGAATATAAACAGAAGCTAAATATTTAATTTGGCAGTGTTTTTTGTGTTAGAGATAGTATTTGGTGTTTGAGCAATGAAGTATGCTGATATAGTAAATCTGAGAAAATATTTTTGAAAAGAAAAAAAAACATTAAATTGTTATGGTATGTAAGACAGTCTTTTTTTTAATTTTTAAATTTTCTACATTTTTAAAACTGGTGAAAAGTTGTGGCAAATCTTGGCAAGAACTCAACTTGCATGTGCAGCATTCATAAACTTAAAAAATGGTAACAGTTTTATAAAGAAAAAAGACAACTGTTTCTTAATTGCATCATTTCTTATTTCAGGCTCTCCAGTAGCGTGTAAGAAAAGTAGAAAAGTAGACTAGGGAGGTTGGAGAGCCTGCTTAATGCAATATCTATAGCTTCCTACATACTATAGACATTTCTGACACACAATAATATTGCATTACTAGAAATCCAGCTGCCACATAAAAAGTATTTTTTTAATAAAATTTAGTGACTTTTTTTAAATACATACATCAAATAGCTTTTGTAATCTCATATTCTTGGCACCAGTTCATGCCTTGTAAAAAAACGTTTTACACTTGATTAACCAAAACATACTATCTTAAGGCAATTAATAAGGCTATGATCTGTCTATGGTCAACGAGATAACCAGTCTATGGGCAACAGGCAGTCCAGTCTGTTTCCGGATACCCATTGTACAGTCCATTGAAGAATATGGAAAATGACACGAAGACAAGGAACAATGCTAGAGTTACCCAACCTACATTCTTCTCCCACGGCTTCTCATTGATATTTTTCATCACTGCTATACCAAGGAATAACCCTGTCAAAGTATAAAACAATATTGCCATAATAAAAGGAATAACCCTGTCAAAGTATAACACAATATTGCTATAATAAAAGGAACTAGAACTATCACTTAATGTGATTAATACCCCCACAAGTCTGCTTCGGAAATGAGGATGTTACTAGTAACAGAATACCTTGTAAAAGAATTGAAACATAGAGTTATGGTTGTGGGCAATTAAAGATAATTGTGGTTCATGTATGTTGCATTTCCTTTCAATGTGGTTGGCCATTGATGAAGTTTAATTGAATTACTCTGTAATAAGTCCAGAAAGACAAAGAAAAAGAACAAAGGGCAATAACTCTATAAATACTGAAGATAGAGTTATAGTTCTTGTGCACTGCACTTCCTCTTATTGTGCTTGACCATTGTATGAAGTTGTTTTGAATTCCAACCAGTATGTTTTAAGTTATGCTCCGGACAAGGAAAAGTATCAAAGGGCAGTAACTCTGTATTTTGTCAAAATGGAGTTATGGCTCTTGTGCACTGCACTTCCTTTGAATGTCCTTGACAACTGTATGAAGTTGTACTGAATTCCAAACAGTAGTTTTCAAGTTATGCTCTGGACAAGGAAAAGTAACAAAGGGCAATAACTCTGTAATTAGTCAAGATGGAGTTATGGTTCTTGTGCACTGCACTTCCCCTTATTGTGCTTGACCATTGTATGAAGTTGTTTTGAATTCCAACCAGTAGTTTTCAAGTCATGCTCTGGACAAGGAAAAGTAACAAAGGGCAGTAACTCTGTAATTAGTCAAGATGGAGTTATGGTTCTTATGCACTGCACTTCCTCTTAATGTGCTTGACCATTGTATGAAGTTATATTGAATTCCAACAATAAGTCTTCAAGTTATGGTCCGGACAAAAGAAAGCAATGGAAAAGTAACAAAGGGCAATAACTCTGTAATTAGTCAAGATGGAGTTATGGTTCTTGTGCACTGCACTTCCTCTCAATGTGCTTGACCATTGTATAAAGTTGTTTTGAATTCCAACCAGTAGTTTTAAAGTCATGCTCTGGACAAGGAAAAGAAACAAAGGGCAGTAACTCTGTAATTAGTCAAAATGGAGTTATGGTTCTTGTGCACTGCACTTCCTCTCAATGTGCTGGACCATTGTATGAAGTTATAATGAATTCCAACAATTAGTCTTCAAGTTATGCTCCGGACAAAAAAAGAAGGCAATTGAAAAGCAACAAAGGGCAATAACTCTGTAATTACTTAAGATAGAGTTATGGTTCTTGTGCACTGCACTTCCCCTTATTGTGTTTGACAATTGTATGAAGTTGTTTTGAATTCCAACCAGTAGTTTTCAAGTTATGCCACGGACAAGGAAAAGTAACAAAGGGCAATAACTCTGTAATTAGTCAAGATAGAGTTATGTTTCTTACACACTGCACTTCCTCTCAATGTGCTTGACCATTGTATGTAGTTATATTGAATTCCAACCATTAGTCTTCAAGTTATGCTCCGGACAAGGAAAATGCAACGGACAAAAAAAGAAAGCAATTGAAAAGCAACAAAGGGCAATAACTCTGTAATTACTTTAGATAGAGTTATGGTTCTTGTGCACTGCACTTCCCCTTATTGTGTTTGACAATTGTATGAAGTTGTTTTGAATTCCAACCAGTAGTTTTCAAGTTATGCCACGGACAAGGAAAAGTAACAAAGGGCAATAACTCTGTAATTAGTCAAGATAGAGTTATGTTTCTTACGCACTGCACTTCCTCTCAATGTGCTTGACCATTGTATGTAGTTATATTGAATTCCAACCATTAGTCTTCAAGTTATGCTCCGGACAAGGAAAATGCAACGGACAAAAAAAAAAGCAATGGAAAAGCAACAAAGGGCAATAACTCTGTAATTACTTTAGATAGAGTTATGGTTCTTGTGCACTGCACTTCCCCTTATTGTGTTTGACAATTGTATGAAGTTGTTTTGAATTCCAACCAGTAGTTTTCAAGTTATGCCCCGGACAAGGAAAAGTAACAAAGGGCAATAACTCTGTAATTAGTCAAGATAGAGTTATGGTTTTTGTGCACTGCACTTCCTCTCAATGTGCTTGACCATTGTATGAAGTTATATTGAATTCCAACCATTAGTTTTCAAGTTATGCTCCGGACAAGGAAAATGCAACGGACGTCTGGACCGACCAACCGACCGCCCGACCGACCAACCGACGGACCGACCGACCGACCGACCACCGGGTGACTCCTATATACCCCCCCCCAAACTTCGTTTTTTGGGGTATAATAACCCTGTCAATGAATAACACAATATTGCCATAATAATTATATACATAATGATTCTATCTTTAACTTTCATCTTTTTTCATGGCGTCACTGTTATGGACACTATTACTCAATTTTGCAGCTTTCCAGTTTTCAGTTCCAAGACTCATAAATGTTCCTCAATTGTTCAAGGAACAGTCAAGCACTGGTGTAGAATCACCAGCCTTAAAAATGATACAAAATATTTCTCATAACAAAGTATAAATATAGCTGTGAGTAGAATACATTGTATAAGGATCTTCTACAAATTTAATTTTGTTTTTGTTGAATTTTAAGTCACACTGGTGCTGTAACAGAAATACTGTGACTTCACAGCTTGACTTGTGGAGAAAGACCTCAGGGGCCCCTTCCTGCATTATTTAAGGCAAGAACGGATACCTGTGTAGAACCACTGACGTGCTGTAATATAGCAGTATAGCTTCCTCACATGAAAAAATCAAAAGTCCCTGATGGGATTTTAGCCCAAACCTTTAAGAGGCAAGCACAAAATGAAATAGTTAAATAGTTACTTTTCTTATAAAAACTGGCTTAACGAACAAGAGGGCCATGATGGCCCTGAGGTCGCTCACCTGTATATAGGCCCCCGGAGCAGGGCCAGTTTAAACCCCAGGGCTTTTATTTGAACAAACTTGGAAGACACCCATTAGAAGATGTTTCATGATGTTAAGTTTTTACTACACACATATAATGAAAAACAATGATCTTCCACTCCCCCCCCCCCGGCAGGGCCAATTTTAACCAAAGGGCTTTTATTTGAACAAACTTGGTAGAGACCCATAAGAAGATGTTTCACGCTTAATATCTAAGCTCTAGCTATTAAGGTTTTTTAAAATAAGATTTTTTAAGTTTTTACTTTACACATATAGTTAAAAATAATGACACCCCTGGGTCGGGGCCAGTTTTGACCCCAGGGCTTTTATTTGAACAAACTTTGTAGACATATCTAAAGTTTTTTCTTTCGCCGGCCATGGCAACCAGAGTTTTGCATGGAATTAAATTCTTTGAACAATTTTTAAAGGTGACCACCAAAGGAACATTCCTGTGAAGTTTGGATGAAATTGGCTTAGCGGTTTATGAGGAGATGTCATTTAAAGTAAAAGTTTACGGACAGACGACGGACGGACGCTGGACGAAAAGCGATCACAAAAGCTCACCCTGTCACTTTGTGACAGGTGAGCTAATAAAAAATTACAGTGATTCAGTATTGTTAACAGATATTATAAGTGCCCTTCTGAGCATTATTTCAGGCACAAACTGGCACCCGAGTTGAGTCACCTACCATGTAAGCTAGCTAGATAGCTTAAAGGATCAAATGCACTTAACAGGATTCATACCAGGATTCAAATCCATGGTTGTAGGACAAATGGTCTGAAGTCCTAAACATGAACCACATATGTCCTTACAAAAACTAAATTTCAAGAATTTGGCAAAGTGAACATAGAACAAAGACTTAAACTATTATAATAAGAATGTTTTACCTGCTATGAGGCCTCCCATATGAGCTGTGATTCCGATATTACCACCAGCAGGATCAAAGAATCGTCTATAAACTGCATTAGCGGTATCTAAACCAGCTGCAAATATACACAGTGTTCGAAATTAGCAGTAGTCCTATAGCCCCAGACTACTAAATTTCTCCTCGGGCTACCAACTTTTCACAGTAACAAGCCCGACCAGGCTACTGCATTTTCAGAGGCAATATAAACAACTGTTTTGAACAAATGAATCGTGCTAGTGAAATGTCTTTTGGGCTAGTGAATATTCCAATCTGGTAGTCCGACCAGCCTAGTCGATTCAAATCCTAATTTCTTACACTGTATACACCAAGTTATTACTGACAAATTAAACAATAACCTGCTGAATTTGTGTAATGGATTTGACCTGCTACGGATTTGGAACAGTCTATACCAATTTCAAGACCTTTAAGTAACAAAAAACAAATGCAGTCCATAAAAAAAACATGTTTTTTTTTTGTTGGGTTTTACCAAATTACGTCGCATCAACACAGTTTAGGTCATATGGCAACTTTCAAGCTTTACTGGTGGATGAATACCTTCTGTGCATTATTTCTGGCATCAACAGGCACCCTAGTAGAACCACCGAAATCCTTGGTGAATAGCTCTAGACTATTGTAAGTAGTTGATAATGAAATAAGAACAGGTATTAAAAACTTCTATCTCAAAGGGTAACAAGAAGAGGTCTATAATTAATCAGGTGATGTAGAATGGAAAGAGAAGGCAGTATAAAGATTAAAGATAATACCATAAAGGGTATTATATATTTTACTAGTCTAAATCAATAGGGTGGTACAAAAACTAAACTGAAAATCTAAGCCGAAAAATGGGAAGAATTTCGTCAGAACGTATGGCACAGAATTTTCTCTTGCCTAGAATCGGAGATAAAGATTTAATACTTTAAATTAACACCTCAAATATTAATGATATATTATGCTTCAGTTTGATATTTGATAATTGCTACATGTACAATGTATATAATAAATATGTTTTGACTTTACACAACAGTAGATGTGTTACGTTTTGGTTTATACAGAATTTATTTTAGTTGGATTGTGTAGGAAGCTATAAGCTTATAGACACACTTTCGAATCCGTTCCTGGAACCAACCAGTACTGAGCAATGAGTGTAAAGTTTCTTGCTCAAGGAAACAACGACTTGCCCCTGACTGGGTTTGAACCCATGCGGCTAACGATCATGAGATTACTAGTCCGACGCGTTAACCACTCGGCCATGCAGCCACTTAGCAAGAGCCTCACCTAATGAGTGTTACGTTTTAAACTCTATAGGGGGTCACAATATGAATATACAGAGTTGTTTAGTGGGTTTTACTGGCAGTTCTTTAAGCCTGATCGGTACACTTAGCACAAACCTTACCTAAAACAAGGACAGTGAGCCTGACAGGTGCACTTAGCAAGAACCTTACCTAATAATAGCATGGCAGTGAGCCTGACTGGTCCTTGCCTAATAATAGCAGAACAGTGAGCACTTACGAGAGCCTCACCTAATAATCACAGGACAGTGAGCCTGACCAGTGCACTTAGTAAGAATCTTACCTAACAATAGCAGGACAGTGAGCCTGACCAGTGCACTTAGTAAGAATCTTACCAAACAATAGCAAGACAGTGAGCCTGACCAGTGCACTTAGTAAGAATCTTACCTAACAATAGCAAGACAGTGAGCCTGACCAGTGCACTAAGTAAGAAACTTAACTAATAATAGAAGGACAGTGAACCTGACCAGTGCACTTAGTAAGAATCTTACCTAACAATAGCAGGACAGTGAGTCTGACAGGTGCACTTAGTAAGAACCCTACCTAACAATAGCAGGACAGTGAGTTTGACAGGTGCACTTAGTAAGAACCCTACCTAACAATAGCAGGACAGTGAGTTTGACAGGTGCACTTAGTAAGAACCTTACCTAACAATAGCAGGACAGTGAGTCTGACAGGTGCACTTAGTAAGAACCTTATAGGATTGCCATCACAACATTCGTGGTTCATCTCAGACCAATTCTGTAATAAAATAAACACTCAAGATTTAGTTGGTACTTATATGCAACACTTATTTGTTGACTTTAAATTATATAAAACACCTACTTGTACATTAAAATTATATGAAACGCCAATTATGACACTAAAAATCATAGGTTGAACACTCTATTTTCAATTAAAAATCACCATAAAATATCTTTAATAACTTATATGAAACATAATTTTTATATTTAATAACTTATATGAAACATAATTTTTATATTTAATAACTTATATGAAACATAATTTTTATATTAAAACTTATATAAACGCTATTTCAAATTCAAATAAATAAATTCAAATAAGTCAAACAATCATTACTTTCTAAATTAAATATTAATTTTTTCATGAAGTTTTAAAATGAAACATTCATTTTTACAATTAAATCTATTTGCCATAAAATACACATTCGCCATATAAAACCATAAGAATGTCTAAATATTTTCAGCATGATCTCAATACATGTTCATCTCAACAAAACAGAAAATTACACACATTTTACCCAATCAAAACATAAGAAAACTATCTCTAAAAATTATTAAGTGTATCATTGGTTTTATCAAAATGTCCCAATGATTTTGCTAGACAACTACAGTTTTGGTGTACACTTATTTAATTTTTCTTTTGCTCTACCAGTACACATTGTAGTCATGGATCATCCATTGTTTAAGACTTAGTAGTAATATTTTTCTTTATATATTTACCACTACAACGGAAGCCAGATGGGCACCTATAAGAGCGTAACAACCTCCACTAGCACCGGCCAAGGCAACATTGTGATCTGTCAATGAATGTGCCAGTGAACCTGTCAAATTAAAGACAAAAAAAGTTCACATCCTCATTTTGACTTTAAACATTACACTGCTAATTTTGAAAGGAAATTTTGCTCTATAATTAATATGTGACATTAGTATTGGAATACTGAAAATGCAGATGCCTAGAGTAAAATCTTAAGGTGTCTGCCTTTCAACCAAAGAATTGTGGGATTGCAACCATTATTTTTTACAAGACACCAGTACTGATAAATTCTAGGAAACAGGCTTTAATAAGCTTCAACCTCTTATAATAACTGAGCTAAAATAAATATCTAAACAAACATTGAATTACTCTTTCTTGTACATAAATGTTTCACCTAAACTCTTATCATTTTAATAATCATGATTCAGCAGCTTTTTCAAGGACTATTGTGTCCACTCTATATTCACTGACTGCATATCACTTTCCAGTCTGCAATGAATGTTTTCATGTTAAGACATTTTGTTTTGTTTTGCTTGGTTTGGTCTTACTGCACACCAAAACAATTTAGGTCATATGGCGCCAAAACAGGGAAGATGATTTTGGTGAACCTCAGGTGATAACACAAGGGGTTAAAACCACCTCACCTGCTTTAGTTAAGAGTTGCATAGACTCCAGTAATTCGAACCCAAATAGTCACTACAGTAATTTGAAACCATTCAGTTACCGCTTACTATCATGCAGGGATAAACGGTGGCTGCAATTCTGATGCCCTAACCTTTTAAGGCAACCCCTCAGCCACAAGGGAGATATCAGGAAGTATCCAGCTGTTCCAGAACTTACCTGCGATAACACCACAGAAGTAGACAATAAGAACTCTCCACCATTTATGTACAATCTCTAGAGGTAGGCCCAGCAATAACTGAAATATCAGGTTACCGACAAGATGCATATACCTACAAAACAAATAAAATATTCATTTATAAATAAGCCGCGCCATGACAAAACCAACATAATGTGTTTGCGACCAGCATTGATCCAGACCAGCTTGGGCATGGTTAATTACCCTAAATATTTTACAGTGCTAGTTCATGTAGTTTAATTGATACGCTATATTTTCTAATGATCAAAGCGTTCTATGAAGAAGAAATTTGGCAGATACATTAAAATTACTTCGACGTTTAAAACATCCAACTGTTTTCTTTCTTAACGAACATGTATTAGGACTTTCTGACATTCACAGTAAGGGTGTTGACTATAGGACAAGGACGAATTTAGGGCACCCAACAACAAATTTGGCAGTCCTTAGAATATCATTATAAGCGGAGTTTAATGTTATTGATGAAGCTATCTATCTAGCGTAGAAAGGTCATGGTTCTATTAGCCAACATGTGCATGAGAAATGCTTCCTTTGCCAGTAAAGCTAGATTTTACACAAGTTGTCATTATGACTACAATAGTGTCTGTGTGACTTAGGAGGCAAGATTAAAACAGTGTTAAGTTTAAATTTCACAATACTAAATTCAATACAATGTATTTTAGATCATTTGAACGAGTAAACTTTCGAAAGTGATAAACATTTGCACAAGCCATCACATCCATACATTCCGAACACGCTCTACATTGTATACTGGTTTGTTTTTTTAAATTTAATACTGGAATCCCTTAAATACTGCATGGACTTTTCCAAATTCAAGGCCAGTCAAATCCATAATGCAAATTAAGGGATGTAAAAAAAAAAATAAAGAGACTATACCCCTGGTGAATGAGTAGATACGTAAAATATCTCCACGCCTCATATCGTCTTGACGGTTTGTATATAAAAGGACTGTAAAGTGGTACCCCTGACGTGGCAGTGACAGGATCGTTAGTATCTTTTAACTGCATTGCATATATTACAAACACTATAATCTGGAAAAAAAATCAGTTTGTATTAAAAACCTTTCTCTGCCAATTATAATGTGTGTACAACAATAATAATATCAACACAATTATTTTAGTTGTAGCCCTTAGGACAATTGATACGTTGATTTCATTAATATTTTTTAGAGGATATTTTGTTTGTTTTTGTGTTTTATGAAATTTTATTTCATCAAGTGAGCTTTCAAATGAGTATTCTCACAAGTAATTTTCAGGAATAAATCAGTAGTCCACTCAGAGGCATAAAATAAAATCTCATAATTATACAGATTTTCATCAAACATGCAATGTTCTTTTGACCCACATAACATCATCTATAATATATTATATCTGTTTTGTGTTTATCCATATTAAAAACAATTTCTTAAAAAGTGTTTTTTACTTATATTTTACCTTTCGTAAGATTTCATAAAACTAACAAGTGCACTGCATGCCATGTTAACTGTCATCTGTTAAAGGCAACAGCTATAAAAACCAATTTTGAAACAAAAATTTAAGATAAGAAGGGGGATAACTCTAAAGGTATACTTTTCGGAATAATGTCCCTTGTCTTACAATTGCATGTTGTCATGGTAAGCAAATATTTCAAATTGCATTTCAATTACTTTTAAACTGTTATAATAATGGGCTACATTGAAGTTTTTGCATGACGACGACGATGCAGTGATCATAATAGCTTCACTTTTTATTTTCGTAACAGATAAAAAAAGCTGCTTTAGATATTATATATAAAACATATAAAAAGCACTGACCTCAATTATGCTAATGACCACCATGAAGATTGGAGGCGGGCAGCATGTGTAATGTTCGAGGAAATCTTCCTTCATGTATTCTGGTACGATATTGTTTATAACTCCGCCTACAAATCTAGTCATAGCTGTACGCTCTTTCTTTGACAGAACACCATCCCGTGTCATCTAAAATCATACACAAAATTAATTCTAACACTCCTCGTGATTTTGTCACTATAGACAAATATGGAAAAAAAAAAATAGAAACTCCAAACCGGTGTTAAATAGTCGATAAACTCAGCAAATTAAGACCCATATAATTTCTTAAATAACATCAAATAAAAGATGCAAATTACATAACAAATTTTTGTATCAATACAAATACAATTATAGTAAATAAATATTAGTTTTGTTTGTGTTTATTTTTACGCAGATTTGATCCTCGGGCAATTAAGGCTACATTTCTCAGCAACAATTTCTCTCAAACATTGAGCCTTATGATCATTAATTTTGTCTCTCAACACTGATTCAGATTATTTTGTATCAGTTAGTGGTCATTTGCTGAGAAATTTGGAATAAATGGTTAGTTATCCAGAAAAGCCTATTCGGACACTGAACCAACTGCAAGATATGTGTTAAAATCCGCGTCCCCTTAATTACAAATCCCGTGCTCTCTCTACAAATGCTCTAGATACATAATTATGAAAGTTATTGAACTAAAGACTTTTTGAGGGAAAATATAAAATAAGATTCTTATAATTTATATACCATACCAAAAAAAATATAAAAAAGAAAATCTTATATATCCACTTATCTATATACCATATTGATGAATTCAGCGAAGGTAATATAAGAGTCCCCATCTCTGTCCGCCTTCTCCAACAAGATATCTAACCTGTCCTCCGGTATAGTGTTAATAATTCCCGTCTCATCCAGTTCATCTTGTAACTCAGTGACCAAAACTCCCTGGTTACCATGCTGTAATATATGCATACAAATGTATTAAATATTTTTCCACATTTAATTACCCAGTCTCAATATGGATGTTAAAGCTGCATGCCTCCAGATGAGCCAAAATATTTCATTGTGCAATTAAAGGCTGATTTTGCAGTATTAATTGCCATATTTCTACTGCGTTACTAAGGCAGTAAAGAGCTATTTCTACTTATTTTTCCACGTTTTAGTATTTTATGTGGATTGCAAGTGTTGTTTGCAATGTGTAAATTATTTTCTCTGTTCATTTCAAAATATTTTACTTTTAAATACATTTTTAAAATCTTAATAAAAATTAGAATTAATCTGGAGGCATGCTGCTTTAAGCTCTTGATAACGTTAATAATAATAAAGTAATAATCATCATTAATTTCATTCAAGCAGGCTTTTTTTACTGTGAACTTTTTCTTTACACGAAATGTTTACACGAAATTTATATAAAATAATCTGTCACTGTATATGAGGATATTTGTCATGCAAAACATATTGAACAGGAAAATTATATCCTTTGTTTTTCTTCACGGTCACCATTGTTCTTAAATTCAATTTTAACACAATACGCAAGATTAATATCATTATACATTATCACAATATAATTATTAACAGGGCATGGTTACAATATTGAAGAAACTCCTTTGACTGGTTGGAAGGCCTTAAAAAAACATAGAATTTTAAATTCTTGCATACATTAGCTGGGACACTAAAAACAGAAAAAAATATGCAAATATACTCATATATAAATTGAAAATCTTATTTTGTGTTATTCCTAGCTCAATTTTGGGTCAATTTCCAAAATTACAATACATGTATTTGTATTCAGGGTAAATGGAGTGAGCTTAAAATGATCTGAAATTTAACACACAAGTTATTGGTCTAACCCTACATCAAATGGAACATTTATCTCGAAATATTATTTCCAGTGATAATATAGAAATTTTCTAAGTTCAAAAAGGGCCATAATTCTGTCAAGATCAATGTTAAAACTTTTGGCCTTGGACTGTAACCTCCTATGGTGCTCTCAATATTGTGTGTGAAGTTTCAAATTTATTTCCTTCCGTATTTTTAACGTATTTTAACTTGCACGCAAAAACTTAACCAAGTGTGACGCTAGACGCGTGGGTACAATATAGCTATCCCTATTTCTTCAAAATAGTTGTCAGTTTATCTGGAAATCATTTCTTTAAAATATAAATGTTTATCAGGTTTGTTATGGTGTTTAAATAACAATGTGTATTATCACAACCAACTAAATGTTAAGATCTTGTTTTAACTTTTAAGTCACATAACATAACAAACATTTACAGCATTGAAAGAGACGGTTTAAATCACTAATCCACGATTAAAAGTAATTTAAAACCCATACTAGATTCACATTGACCAGTATTATCAAAACCTACACTAGATTACCTCTCCCGGACCAGACCTCTTTAACATGTATTAAATTAACCGTATTAAATTGTACGTTTAACAGCCTATAAATAACAGTAAACACTTAAGTAAGTGAATTTAAATTTGACTGCATAAAAAATCTTTCGAACCTAGGAGCAGCTTTAAATAATAAATTCGCGAGTTTTTCAATAAGCTTTAAAATAATAGCTGCCAATACAATCAAGACTAAAATAAATTCGTATAAGGAAAATAGCCAAAATCTAGAAAAATTCCTGAACATCAGATAAATAAATTAAATAAATTGCTATTTAAGATTAGCGATAAAGTCATTGTTAGCACAGATAGTTCAAACATTTGAGATAATATCTTAATCGCATAAAAAACGCCTACAAAATATTTGTATAAAAATTCATATATCCAGACAGTATTTATCATTGACATTAATACTTCAAAAAGATGACATTTTACAGGTGAATCATGGGCGGCTCATGTTACATAACATCCCATTGTATGTTTCAATAATCTTAATATTTAAAATCATATGAAGCTCCTTTATCTAGATCTGTCATTTTAATTCTTCCTTTATATGAAAAAAAAAAATTATTGACTTAAGAGAGGCAAAGTCCTCTAATCCACCATCTTTTTTTAAATTCAACAGCTGACCAACAGTTTCTGGTTTGTTTGTTTTGTTGTTTTATGCCCTTCAAGCTCTTTTCTTTACAATATTTAATATAAATCTATAAAAAATAGTATTCTTATCCTAACCTACAAGTCAGAACTGTCCCCTTTTTATTTTGGCCTCAGAGACCACAAGAAAGCAAACTTTTCTTTTTCAGCCTTAAAGGCTATATAATTTCCGCAACATATTCAGTTAACAGGGTACAAAACATAATTTAAATACTACAAATAGATATGTGAAGGTTAAATTTTAAAATTCATAATTTGAAAATCAAAATAAATCAAAACTTACCTTATCAAACAATGGCTTGAATTGCTGTCAGCATATGAAAAAAGAAGACAAAAAATATATTTTATTGCATTTTAGTAATTTTACCTCGAGTTTAACCCAACAAAACTTGCATAATGAACTCAATCCTTTTTTTTCTTCATTTTAAAGTTTGGAACAGTTATTATTAGAATATGGTTAAAGCAAAGGGTTTTGATATGAAAAAAATATTAAAATGCAAAAATTAAAGTAAACATCAAGTCAGAAAGTCAGATAGCACAAAATTATTCAAGCTCCAGGGCTCAAGGTTCTTTGTCAGATTGCAGTGCAGGGTTCAAGGCTCCTTGTCAGATTGCACAAAATTATTCAGGCTGGGTTATTGTGACTTTTTGTCAGATTGCACAAAATTATTCAAGCTGGGTTATTGAGACTTTTTGTCAGATTGCACAAAATTATTCAGACTAGGTTATTGAGACTTTTTGTCAGATTGCACAAAATTATTCAAGCTGCAGGGCTCAAGGTTCTTTGTCAGATTGCAGTGCAGGGTTCAAGGCTCCTTGTCAGATTGCACAAAATTATTCAGACTGGGTTATTGAGACATTTTGTCAGATTGCACAAAATAATTCTGGCTGCAGGGCTCAAGGTTCTTTGTCAGATTGCAGTGCAGGGTTCAAGGCTCCTTGTCAGATTGCACAAAATTATTCAGGCTAAGTTCATGAGGGTTTTTTTCAGATTGCATATAATTAATTTGATATCACAGTTTACTCTAACTATGTTGCAGCTCTTCAAAAAAGGACTGGAAAGAATATGATTTAAAAGTCTGTTAAATCCTGTCTGTCTTAGCTATCTGTCAAAGACAGAGCCGAGTGCACGCCCTTTTAAAAATATATACAAATATTCTTTTTTTTTTACTTTAAACAGTACAAGAATCCCTAATATGAGCAATGTCATTTTATGGTGTTTAAATTTGATTCCCAGTTTTTTTTAAAGAAAAGCCTGAAAAAAAAAGACTTTAAACAAAACACTTCTTAAAGGAAATGGGCAATTTCAGAATGAAAACTTATTGTCAAAAATTCCAAGAAACAGTGTCTATTCTAGGAATTGAAAAATAGGGGTGATTTTCCCCCCTCTATTTCAAAAAAGGGGGCGAGTTTCAAAATCAAAGGGTGCCAATATAAACTGCCAGTGTTAAATCGTCTGCATTAAGTTTACACTGAGGCGTTCAACCGAGGAAATATTTAAAACGATAATATTTATTTAAGGCAGCAGAAGTTGTCCCCCCTTAATTTTTAAACGAAAACAAATTATTACAGAACTGCCGCGATTGATTATAAAGGGATTGGCAATACAAATAATCGAACTATCTTTCACGTCTAGATCGTAGCCAAGCTAGGAATTGCCTCATTTTTCCTAATTATTAACTACACTAAAATGGCGCCCAACTGTCAGGTTGATACGGAACATTCCGTTAATTTCCTTCAACTCACGTAACCAGTACCATACGGTACTAAATTATTATAATTAGCTTACAGTTACCTCCCTTCGGTTTTCAGTGTAAATGTAAACAAAACAACCAAATATAATGCGGGATGGAAGTTTTACGGTTTTATTAACTATTTTTATAGATGCGCGATTTTCACGCACATGATTTTGAATTGTGCGCGATCTGTTAAATACTAGCGTGAATCGCGCAATCGCGCGTCCTAGAATAGACACTGAAGAAAGATGCCATTTAAACCTCAAATCAATTTATATCGGGCAGCACGAAATACCCAAATATACCCAAATACACCCAAATATTGCCCAAATATACCCAAATATTGCCTAAATATACCCAAATATTGCCCAATTATACTAAAAATAAATGTTTTATAGTAAAAAAGTGCTGTTTTAATCATGAATACAATACAGTATACACTTTCACTAAGATATAATCAAACATACCCAAATATACATTTTCCTATCATTGTGTTTTGAAATAAAATACAGTATATGTACTCCAGTAAAGCTATTTTTTTTAATAACATGGACACTTGTATATGATATGAAATTTCAACAAAATTAAACCTTAAAAATGTAAGTGTAGACAACAAATATAACATCTTGATTTAAAATTGCAAGTAAATTCATAAAGAACCTATATAGTACATGTAGATTATAAGCAAATGTAACACCTTTATTTTCTTACAACATCTCAACGGAATGAATGAAAGTTATAGCAGGCTAAGTCATATTATTTTATAAATATTTATTTAATTCTCACTATAATCTATATTTTAAACAAACAAAAATACATATTGCTGTATTTGGGTGTATTTGGGTATTTCGTGCTGCCGTTTATATCTTTATAATATTATAGCACAACAATTATAACATGAGGTTGATACATCACCGAGAATTATGTTCATGTCTAGATTGCAGTGTTTGTTGTACGACTGCAACAGACCGTAACATATATTATCAACATTATGTTGATTATCATATATGTGTACCAACCTAAGTGTAAACCACATATGGGAAATCATAAAAAATATAAATGTTTATATATACATTGTATAGACATTATGCTTTTTTAGGTGCTATTGATCATAAAATTTGCATAAATTATAGCACATGGCAGACTCACAGCGTTTACATATTTATAAATATGTACAATATGTTAATGATCAACAAGTTTACATGCAATAATCAGTAATACATACTATGTATACAAAGTGTAGTAACACCTATATTCTGCATTCATGAATTACTGGGCAATTTCAAAGTCATAATCATAGGCTTTTATAGCTGATTAATAATGCAGGGATTTTTTCCAGGATTTTGGGAACATGACCCATACCCATGGAATTGGGAATTTCAGCAGTGTTTTGTTAAAAAATGGGAAAAACGCATGACTGAAAATTTGCAGTGATTAAATGGATGCCAACAATTACCGTCTATGATGGCATCTTCTAACATTTAAGCACTATTACAGTGAAGAAACCATTATTTGCAAAGATTTTAGAATTTTTATTCAATATTTTTATATTGTAACTTTCAATTTGGAATTTCTTCCTGTGGATTGGAAAAATAATATACTAAATTTTCCATTGGGAATATGAACCAATAACGGCTATAAAATAAGCCAAAAATAACCCTGTAATGAGATGTTTCACTTGGTATTTTACAATTAGCTGAATTTGAGATGAGTGAGAACTTGTTAAAACTAATTCAAATTCAAGATGGTCCAACATAAGTCTGAGGGTAACTACCGACTTCAAGCATTAATGCGGTGGCTGAGCTGTGCTCTAGTAAATTCAATGTGGCTTACTGCAGTGATCCAGAGTGAAAACAACCAACACGACCACCTGACACAGTGTCAGACTGGGCTTTTACTAATCTGGTACAGGAGTTTGACTGCTAGCAAGCTACACACCTGCTTTAGACACAAAAGTTATTCAGCTATATATAGATAATATTAAATATTCAAGAGCTTATTCTGCAGCAAAGATAATTTCAATATATGCAAAGAGTATAGACCCTGCCAGGCATTGCAGGGCTTCCAGAAGTTCAAAACCTTGGAAGTCAGAGACTGCAAAATGCCCGACATAAATTTGGAAGTCTCTTTTTATAGGTAAAGAAGGAAAAGCATTAATTTAATTGTATTTTGGAAGTAACAAGCCAAAATCAGGAGAAAAATGACTCCCACACTTGGACTAATGGAAGCCCTCATTAAAGGTGACACATAGCTTGGCATGTAGCTATATACTCAGTTTAACAATATATACATCATGTGTTAATACGACCCTTATACCACACTTTAATATCTTAAATGGACTTGTCCATTTTTCAATTTGGGCAAAACCATTCATCATTTTTAGGGAAAAGAATATATGTATAAGCCTATAGACTGAATAGCAAACAGTGTGGCTGGTCCATGATCAGGTGGCACCGCTGTTCTCTCAAATTGGGTCACATGGGTGGACTAGCAAAATATAGGTTATTAACTAACCATGATCAATTCTTGAACTTCAAAAGAGGATAAGCAAATTAGCTGAACTTCAAAAGGATGATATATAAGTCAATTAGCTGGTGTAAAGGTTAAGTATACAACCATGTTAATTTTTCTAAAATGGTCAGAAGTGATGGATCAGACCACAGGTAATTTGTACAGCCTAATATATATGCATGGTACAGTATACTGTGTAAAAACTAAAATTAGGTATAATCATTTTTGCCAGTGAATTTTTTTTTATTGCCAACTGTGTTCATGTACATTGTATGTATCAATTATAAAACGTTTTGCTAGATACTCAATAATTTTGACATCCTTGTATGTCAGTCTGTATTTAAGTACAACTGACTACATTGAAGATCTGAGGCGCTGCCCTGGCTTCAATATACCGGTGACAAAAGATTAATATATTACTCATAAAAAATTATGTATTATCATATTTGCAAAGGGGAAATGATTTAGTAATTATTTACTGTTACTAAATTGCAGTAAACCTACAGTGCTGGCCAAGCTATAATGTCTCTGGTGTTTTGATGTTGTTGGTTTTTTTAATTAGATTGAAAGATGGACAAGTCCATATAATGTAAGGTATTTAACCTAGCAATTAAGGATTAATATATTACTCATATGTATTATCATATTTATAAAGGGGAAATGATTTAGTAAAACTTGAGTAATGCACTCAACTTGCCATTGAGTTCATAATGTCACTTTAGTGCATCAATGGGTAATTAAGTCCCTCTTAATTTTATCACTGTTACTAGGATTTAACCCATTATATACTAAAATGTCATTCATGATAAATAAAAACTTCAGTAGGTAACAGAACACAATTATATATTCTTTTCCAGTCACAAATGATATTTATCAGTATTATTACTTTGTTTACATGTTTATACAGTCTAAAGAGCCTGCTATTTTCAAAGGTAAATGTAGTAGAGGTATATATGCTACATGTAGTCCTATATAAATTTGGTTTATTTATAGTGCATTCATAATAGAAAATAATCAGGTATTATCTTTAAAAACAGCTAAAAATGTACTTATCAAGGTTGTTTACCCAGTTGTTACATTATATGTCGAATATGACTCAGTTTAACATTCTCAAATATCAACCAAATACTTCACAATATATAGAAAAACCCAGCTAATTTATAAAGCAATACATTTATGTGAACAACCTGTTTACCTGATCACTACTCACAAGTTAATCGTGTATCAGACTCCTCAGGTAAGTGAAATTATTTTTAAACTTACCCGCTCAAGTTCCCTCCTGAACGCTTCTTCCTCTTGTACAGTCCTAAGTTCGATATCCCGAGCACTTCTAGGCCGACCACTTCGCGCTCGTCTACCTCGTGACGACGACATCGCTGGTCGCACTCCAAAGTCCTGTTAAAAGCTAAATATCCGACGCTTTTAATAAGCTACACTCGCAACTAAAACTTTTCTTTAACTTTCTGAAGCGATCAATAAATAATACGCGAAATTAGGTCACCTGTGAAGTGTGACGTCACACATCGGAATACCTGAGTAGATATTTTTAGTATCGACTGTCAATCAAAAGTCACGTAGACCAACTGATACTTTTCACGATGGGCATCTTAAATGAATGATGCGGTCGGATCCGTATGTCCCAAATGGGTATTCCAAATATATTCATGAAGTGTGTCAGTGGCGTATACAGAGCTGGCTGTGATTGGGGCAGGCAGGGTGGGGCTGAGAGGGAAAAGCCATATTGAATATATGTCATCAACACATGCACTATCATGTTCACATGTATTTCTTGATGTTCTTGTTTAATGACATGCATTTTTTTTATCAGAATAAAACTATCTATCTATATGCTGTTATTTGGTAGTCCTGAGCGTCTTGCACGTGTGTGAATGAGGTTGAAAATGGTAAACCCATTTTCCCGACTCTTTAGTGGTTTTATCAAACTGAGCCTGCAACATTTCAATTATGCCGTGTTGGGCTTTCTTTGGGGATTCTTATTTTCTCTATTTTATAGTAGCTTTTTTGATAACAACGTTACATTTTTTATACATTTGCATTTTTTATCTACCGGGTAGATATCTAGTATTACTATCCAATCAGGACTTTTATCAATCACTGTATCTATTTCCTATCTTTATGATCTTAATTACAAATTAAAATTTATTCAAATCTTATAGATCTACATATATAAATAAAACCACCATTTAAAACTTATTATATCATTTCATCTTACAAAATACAATTAACATAAATTTTAATGAGGACCTTAGGAAAGTTTAACATTGAACAAACCAATTTAACGCTAAGGTTACTTAATTGAACTCAATATTTTGCTTGAACTCCGTTTATATAAAGAACACTACATGAAAGTTTGAGGGGGAAATCTAAAAAAAACAGCTGTCTAAAAACAATTCGTCAACATTATCTTTATAAAACTGTCGTTTTCAGTTGCTTTCATTTTCAATTTCTTATTAATTAGGGCTTTGAAAACACATGTTTTTTGGATATATGTCATTCATATACATGTATATGGTAAACCCTTTTGGCAAGCACGCACTGCACTAGTTCTGGTCCTTGGGGCAAGCCACTTCAAATACGATCCATGATCATTTGATAAACAAAATGTTTTTAGCTTTTCAATTATTTTTTGTGTATGAAAATGCACTGTCCTATTTTAAAGTGTGTTGTAATAAATATATGTACTTTCAAAAGTTTTTGCTATACAACGCGAGCATTGGTTATCAAAATTATAGAGATACTCAAAGGTTTCACAGTTTCGATATTACGTGAAACTAGAGACAGATATCTACATCTGTGGTGTAACCAAGAATCTGCATTACCAATCACTAAATCTACTTCTAAGGCAACAGAAGTGATGATTATGTTCTCATTTCCCCAAAATAAATGTTGGATTTTAGTTGAAACTGGTTACCCTTTACGTAATTTGCACGGTAAAATGATTGAACAAGTTTTTAGGTCACCGAATGTTGACACACTTCGAGTTTAAAAAGGTATACTCTAATAAAGTCTTTTCCACTAAACACCTAAGTTAACCAGTTAACCATGCTTATTGTAAGACAAACATATTATGTGTGTGTCATAAAAGGGGCCGATCGCATTAATTGGCATATTAATTCTCTTGAATCGCGCATTGACAAAAAATTGCAAATATACTAGTCAACTATTGACTAGAATCCTTTCTTAAATCGCACACTGACACAAAATTGCCAATGAACTAGACAAATACTGTGTATGATGAACAACGGAACGCTACCACCCGAGACAGACGATGATAATTTAATACAGTCAATGACGAGCTCACTTCAGATATAAATGAGTTAGACTATACAAGTTAAATATCTTATTACCTCCCTTTATTTACATGACATGTTAGATTCGGCAATATCTTTATAAATAATGCTTTTTGGGACTTAAAAAATTGATAAATCTTAATGTGAGCATCATAATTATAATATAAAACCATAAATGTAATTGTGTTACAGGATCTTTAATATGACCGTGGAAACTAAAATCTTTTAATAACAGGAAAATAAAGAAAACATTTTAACTTTGTTATTCGTATATACATTGTGTGTGAAAATCTAAATGCAAAAGTGAATTTTCTCCTTACAGTTGGCTTGAAATTATGAACAACTGGAATTATTTCAGCTCAACGAATGACGTTTTCAAAACCCATTACTTTAAAAGTTACCTTACAATTTTATGGGAACAAAATAGACGTGCTTTCAATAAATTTAAAGCAAATCTGAATCATTGTCAGCAATATTTCTTTTGGACGCATGCAAAACTAATTGTATAACATAGATATGTAACATGAAAGTAACGTTGTTTGAGTTTTACAGTATAAGTATGTCATTTATGGGTGATCGCTAGATATGTAACGGACTATAAATACCAGTATCCTGCTTTTCTGTCGATTTAATTTCCCCAAATTACACACATTTAAATCATTTTTTATGTGGTTTAACTTTGGAATTTGCGAGAAGAAATGTCCAAGCGAAGGAACTGGCTGACGTGTATTAAATTTCTTTGGAGTACAGTCGTATGTCGTATTTCAACACTTGCGCTTTCATTTTTGATCCCTGCAAGATTTTCTTAAAACATGACTTTTGCCATTATTTATTCAACATTTATGGATAAAAAAATCTAATAAATTAGTACAAGATAGCCTCAGTGCATATCAGGCTCAATTGCACAAAATATGAATTTTCTGTTTTAATCTAATTTTATTTATCGACTGTCATTCTCATATTTTTCAGCTTTAAGTGCCCTACATGATCCATGTTAACAGTCTCAAATTTCATGTTATTTGGGCAGCCAATATAATTTGTGCTAATTTGAATAAAAGGTCTAGGATGAAGGTAAATACAAACCAGTCTAATGATAATCTATACCCTATATCATACAAAGTCTTCCTTAAGCAGCTTACCACATTTCTTTGAACAAACTTGAAAGTTGACATATAAATTCTATGGGATGTTCTAAAAACAATTACAAAATAGTTGTTTGAATTTTAAAAAAAGAAGAAATCCAAAATAAATGTCAAGGTCAGTTTAACTTTTTTAAAAGGTCTTGTCCAAAAATTTGTTTTGTCCAAGTATAAATGTAATGTATTAATTAATTAATACAAAGTTACAGTCATTTATAGCAAAGAATCAGTGGAAATTCAATAACTCATTCGTCAAGGTCATAAATGATCCAAGGTCAATTGAAATTTCATATACATAAAGGTCGTATCCAAAAGAATGTCGTATCTAAATATGAAGTCAATCCATTCATTAATAACAAGTTATAACCAGTTGCAGCAAAAAAAAGAGAAATGTTTCAATAATTTGACCTTCAAGGTCAATGTCATTTGCGAAAGAAGACCAAGGTCTGTCTGGTTAACTTGAATGTATATCCCAAAAGATTGTTAAGTTTGAAGACAATCCATTCCAAAATAACTAAGTTATAGCTACTTATAGCAAAAATCAAGCACAATTCAGACATTTGACCTTATGAATGAAGGTCAATGATGGTCTGCTGTACTTGATGGTCTTGTCAAAAGTATAAAGACAATACACCATGAAACAAGAGGGCCATGATGGCCCGGAGTTGCTCACCAGAAACAACTGCTTTTCAGTGTTGGAAATTATCCATTGTCAATATTTTCTGATATTAAATTTGAGCCAATCAAATAAATATGAGCAAATTTGATAAAAGACTACCTAATAATGCTACAAAGTTTGGTGATCATCTATCAGTTATTTCAGTAGGAAATGATGTTCAAAGGTTTTTCTATTTTTGGCTTTAGTGGCCCCTAAAAAGGGCCAGGCAAATTAATATGAGCAAATTTGATAAAAGCGTACCCAAGAATGCTACAAAGTTTGGTGATCATCCATCAATTAGTTCTGTAGAAATAGACATTTAACAGTATTTCTATTTTTAGCTTAAGCAGCCGCTAAAAGGGGCCAATTAAATTAATATGAGCAAACTTGATAAAAGACTACATAAGAATGCTACAGACAAAATTTGGTGATCATTCATCCGTTAGTTCTATAGTAGAAGACGTTTAAAGGTTTTTCTATTTTTAGCACTAGAGACCCCTAAAAGGGGCCAATTACAATAATATGAGCAAACATGATATTATGAAGACTACTACCCCAAGAATGCTACAGACAAAGTTTGGTGATCATCCATCAATTAGTTCTATAGTAGAAGAAGACGTTTAAAGGGTTTTCTATTTTTAGCACTAGAGACCCCTAAAAGGGGCCAATCAAATTAATACGAGCAAATTTGATAAAAGACTACCCAAGAATGATACAGACAAAGTTTGGTGATCATCCATCAATTAGTTCTCTAGATATAGATGTTTAAAGGTATTTCTATTTTTAGCTTTAGCGGCCCCTAAAAGGGGCCAATCAAATTAACATGAGCAAATTTGATAAAAGACTACCCAAGAATGATCCAGACAAAGTTTTGTGATCATCCATCCATTAGTTCTGTAGAAGATGTCTAAAGGTTTTTTTCTATTTTTAGCCCTAGAGACCTCTAAAAGGAGCCAATTGAAATGACATGAGCAAATTCAAGTGTGACTGTCACAAGGATGCTACAGACCAAATTTGAAGTAAATCTGCCCAGTAGTTTCAGAGAAGAAGACGATTGTTGACGCATGACGACGGACGCCAGAGTATCCCCCTTTGAAACTAATAGCTCACCCCGAGCCTTCGGCTCTGGTGAGCTAATAAAAATGTTTTGATCAATGTTATAGTTTGCAGATAGCAACATGACAACATTAAAATTGACTCTTTCAGCTGTAAGCAGTTCTCATTCTACATATGTGATCAATAGACTATTATATTCATGTAGATTCAATACTAAATTTATTGAACTCGTTAAAAAAAACAATATTATGCTCGCCAGATATTTTATTCAACTTATTCAAATATTCTCTATATAAATGGCCTTGTTTTAACAATATACATGTATAATGTAAACAATGGATTTTTGTAAATTGAAAACAAACCTTGAAATGTTTATGTTCTTTATTTACAAAATGGCATATCATATATTCACTACAATGTAAAATGATAACATAACTGTACATAAATTCTCTGCATTATCCAATGTGCAACATTCAACCTATGTGTTGCATCTAACCTATGTGCTGCATTTAGCCCATGTGCTGGATGCAACCCATGTGCTGCATTTAATTAAACCCATGTATCCCAGAATTAAAGTTGCTTTTATACAGATATAATCACTTGCTCTCCATAATGTTTGTGGTACACAATATCCAAGATTTTTTTTTCATTTTGCTGTTTATTCATATATTTATTTATAACAAAAAATGTCAAAGCAACTTGCGTCACGGTACTACTGTAGATCACTGTTTCAACTGTTTCTATTTTTCACTGGTAATACAATTCCAAGTTCATTCCATCGTGTATTTCATCTACACTTTAGTTAAGAAATATTTTGTCCAATTTGGTGATTAAATAAGAGAATATTTTTTATACAATGTAAATATATGATATACATGTATATAAAAAATTTAAAACAATCAAAAGAAAGTACACCCTTGGGAAAAGGTACATTAAAAAGAATTTCATTGTTTTTAGTAAGTTTATTAATTTTTTTTTATCTAATTAACAACCGTACAATGAGAAATTCAACAGAAATCTGACAAAGAAATAGCTGTTGAAACGAAAGTGATTTTGACCAATTTATAGGAAAGAGCATCTGTGGCTGAGTGGTTAAGGTTGTGGACTTCAAATCACTTGCCCCTCACCTCTGTCGGTTCAAGTCCCTCAAGAGACTTCATGTGAGAAAGCTATCCAGCTAGCTAACAGAATGTAGTAAAGTCAGAAAGTGGTCATGTGACATCTACTTTGTTGGTTGTGTATGTAAACCTCCATCCAACCACCACCCACCAAAAAAACAAGTGCTGGTTGACCCACAACAAGTCATCTCAATATGGTGATCATTTCTGTGAAATAGTTGTAAAATCCAACTTCAAATAACAAAATTATGGGCTGGACACGATTTCGCTGCAAGGTCATGCTGTGACCTTGACCTTCAAGGTAGCGACCCAAATGTTGCATGCTGCAAGTCGTCTCAATATGGTGATCATTTTCTGTGAAAAAGTTGTAAAATCCGACTTCAAATAACAAAGTTATGGGTCAGACACGAATTTGGGAAGTACATATGGGCGTTCTAACGGGACAGTAATTATGTGGCTACTCCATTGGTCTCTCTATTGTTCTTTTTAGCCACACAAAAGAAAATAGCCACATAAAAGCATTACCGAATGAATGACATCAAAGAGAAAGAACAGTTACCTATTGTCCCTTAAGCCACATAATTACTGTTATGTTGCTATTTAAAGAAAAAAAATATGTATGTTAAATTTTAACTAGACCTATCACTGAAGGTGATTAATACCCCCACCTGCAACTTTGACTTTTTGAAAAAAAGTAGTCTGAAGAAAAATTTGAACACAAACTATCAACTGTGTACAAAGAAATATTTCAATTAATTGTAATCGCAACTGGGGTCTTGAAATAAGCTTGCTATACACCAAGTTTGATTCCTAACTCTAGTTATTGTCCGGAAACCATTTTTCTATTTTAAGTAACACTGTAACAGTGACCTTGACCCTAGGGGTCCAAATGCAATACCAACCAAGGTCTTCATATAAGCTTCCTATACACCAAATTAGATTACAATATCTCATTCCTAAGTCTACTTATTGTCTGAAAACCATTTTTCTATTTTTCGTAACGGTGACCTTGACCCAAGGGGGCCCAAATGCAATACCAACCAAGGTCTTCATATAAGCTTCCTTTAAACCAAATTAGATTACAATATCTCATTCCTAACTCTAGTTATTGTCCGAAAACCATTTTTCTATTTTTCCTAACGGTGACCTTGACCCCAGGGGGCCCAAATGCAATCCCAACGCAGGTCGTCATATAAGCTTGCTATATGCCAAGTTTGATAACAATATCTCATTCCTAACTCTAGTTATTGTCCAGAAACCATTTTTCTATTTTTAGTAACGGTGACCTTGACCTTGACCCCAGGGGGTCCAAATGCAATACCAACCCAGGTCTTGATATTAGCTTGCTATACACCAACTTTGATTACAGTATCTCATTCCTAAGTCAAGTAAGTGTCCGGAAACCATTTTTCTATTTTTAGTAACGGTGACCTTGACCTTGACCCAAGGGGGCCAAAATGCAATACTAACCCAGGTCTTCATATAAGCTTGCTATACGCCAAGTTTGATAACAATATGTCATTCCAAACTCTAGTTATTGTCCGGAAACCATTTTTCTATTTTTAGTAACGGTGACCTTGACCCCAGAGGGTCCAAATGCAATACCAACCGGAGTTTCCACATAAGGTTGCTATATACCAAGTTTGATAACAATACCTCATTCCAAACTCTAGTTATCGTCCGGAAACCATGATGTGGACCGACGAACGGACGGACCGACCGACCAACCGACAAGCTGACTCCTATATACCCCCCCTAAACTTCGTTTGTGGGGGTATAATTAGAATTTGTATTCATCTGGACATTTCCAAAATGTCTCGTTCCTCACTTGGCCCAAACAGACAGACGGACTGATGGACAACCCAGCAACTATATGCATCCCCCAATTTTTTTATGGTAGCATAAAAATTTATAAGAAAAACACATGTAACAGCCACTTGAAGAGGTGGGGAGGTAATACAACCCACATTGCCAAATTTCTAATAACATCCATAGATGATTTGTTTTACAGACAAAATTAAATGTACCAACATTCTTCCCCACCCTGATCCCTAAACAGATAAAATGAGCAATTATGTGAGAAAGGATACAATCGCCAAGGGTGATGTGGTCTTTAAAAATTGTGTACCTGAAAACAGAAAAGAATAATTATTTCAATCATGCATATCAAAATTAAAATGAAATGAAAATGTATGATTATTTATATAATCATCTCAATATAATAATGTTCCCTTAAAGGAGCAGGCCTCCAGTTTTAAACTACAGTACAAGCGGACACCAGATTAGTACCATTGACCATCATAACAGGCAAACTTGTTTGAGAAACATCATACAAGATCACATCCTAACCATTTTGTCAAAGGATAGTCTAATCTCTTGGGTCTTATTTTGATCATATAAATCAAACATTATAAATGGCAACTGTAAGCAGGTGTAAATCAAGAGTTCAAATCAAGACTGCTTATTCTGCTAAGTTAGCAGTAACTATAAAGATAAAATTACATACCATTTTTTCAGAACTATTTTATCATATCTAGTACCAGTCTGTGCAGCCACCAATTTCTTCAGGTCACCTATGGTGTCGTCTTCACTGATGGTGAGTTAAGGATAAATGCAAATACAAGTATCAAGGCATATTTTATATCAAAGTGCTGAAGGCACTGAATGCAAATAAGCAACAACTTTTTTTCCAGAGTGCCTACTTACATTGATTTTTTTTTCTTTAAAATTCAGTGCATTGCAAAGTACAATTTCCAATTAATAGAATTCAAATTAAAAATGGCATTATTTCAACATATTAATCAAAGCCTACTTAAAAATCAATTTGAAATACAACTACATGTATGAAAACTATGATTAATTTCATAGAAAAGCTTTGGTAATTATTTATAACTTGAATTAATTGAAACATTCAGAGCTTAAAGTGGAAGAGATGAAAAATTATGTGTTTTTGCAAGCTTAGTTCTTTGAGCATGATTTTTCATTGTTCTACCCTTAGGTTTAGATAAAATTTGTCACAATATTAAAGTCATTCCATATCATAAAGCTTGGTATTTTCCTAGCAGTCAATTATTCAAAGTTCAAGATTTACCTTCCTTGCTTGTAACAGACAGTAGGATTTTTAAGTACAACACCAATTAAAACTAAGATGTATAAGGAAATCTTAATGTGTGAAGGCTACTATTTCTTGAATTCGTAAACCTTAAGTCTAGATGTAAGGGATAGGACATGTTCTATTTTGAAAATCTTATTGTACCGATTTCTACAGACCTCACACAATGAAAAGTAACAGATTACCAAATTATCTCCTGATAATGGGTGTAATGAATGAAATTCCAGAACAATTAGGGCTAAAATGTAAACATAGTAGTAGAAGGGGGTAAAAATGATGTTGAAAAAACTCTTCAGGAGACTCAACGTTGTGGTATGTTTGAATCCCAAATTGTTCCGATAATGATTATGTCATGATATTGAACTGTTCTCAAATCAGGGAAGGTAGTTTGTGGGCTGCCGGATAGCTCAGTCAGTAGAGCCGCAGTACGGTATTCCGTGGGTCCCAGGTTTGAGTCTCGGTCAGACTGCTCATTAAAAAAAAAATAAAAATAACAAATTTTCTTTTAAAAAAGAGAGGTGTTTCAATCATTACTCATGGAGAAGAAAAAATTATTTAGTGAATAAAGTATGTAAGGGATCAATTGGTAGGGAATTTTTTTTTAAAGTGAAACCTGAGATGATTCCTACAATGCATAATTACCGTCTGAATGCAAGTGTTGTATTGCTTTGAAAATTGTACATCTTATCTCTAATTAGTGTTGTACAACTAAATCCTACCGTCTGTTGAGGCCTTTCAAAGCTAGTTCTCTTTTTCCTTGTAATATTTATCAAGAATATTTCTATTGTCTTAAAATATTAATGTGTCCACGGCAGACAGGTCTTCATTTTTTATGTACAGATATATCCTTATTCAGATACTAATTTATTGCACCACATCAATTTACAGCAAATTACTTTTGGCAATTGATAATAACTGAAAGCTTTTTATCACAGGACCCTCTGGACTATTTTCAGTGCTTGACAGTTAAAAAGGGGCACAACTCTGTAACAGGTCACTAAAAAGTTACAGGCCCATCATGTTTGATATTCTTGCAGGCATGAGTACAATACCTCACCCTATACAATGAATTGTTGAGCTAAAAATCACATGGAATTCCTTCATATGACCGCTGGCAACAAGAGGTTAATTAAATATTTAAGCACAAAGCACTGTATCTAGACCTAGCATTTTAAAGATGTTTTTTCAAAAATGAATATATACAGTTATGTATATTGTTATTGTTCTTCTTTTTATTGAAAGGATACTTGCACTTCACCCTGACCTTTTTACCAAGTCTGTCATTGCATGTGATTTCTAGCATTTTGCAATGTTCTGAAATTAGAAATATAACCAGTATGATTATAGATGTCACTTCATTTTAGTCATGTCGTACATTACATGTTATACTAATTACTATATAGAACTTATAATTACTGTATACTTTATACTGACAAATTTCAATTATGAAATGTTATTACTTGTACGATTTGACATGTTGTGTATTACTGTATTAACTTATAATTATATGCCATTAACACACTCTTCACCTAATTTTTTTTTCAGTATGAGCCAGGTTGGGCTTGTTCATGTAGCTTACAAATTTCACTAGCCCGAACCAATTTTAACAAACTTTAACCAAAACGATATTTTAGTTTAAAGCTGCATGCCTCCAGATGACCCAAAATATTTCAAGAAAATTAAACTTGGAAAAACCATACTAAAACTTTGAGAAAAGTGAACAAATTAAAGATTCAAGTGATAATTTATATCTTATGTGCAATTGTTGACTGTATTTTGTAGGATTTATCACCATATTTCTGCAGCGTTCCTAACGCAGTAGGGGCTATTTATGCATATTTTGACCTCTTTTTGGTAATTTACGTGGATTTTAAGTGCCGATTGTAATGTGTCAAGTACTTTCTTTGTTCATTTCACAATATTTTACCTTTAAATACATTTTCAATATTTTCATGAAAATTAGGATGAATCTGGAGGCGTGCTGCTTTAAATTTTGCACAGAAATAGCACTTTCCTATGTTTTTATACACAATTAAACGAGAAAAGATTAACAAATTAACTTCACTGTCTTTCTATTCATATCAGAATAGGTGTTAAATTACATAGAAAATACAAGAACTTCTGACATTTCTGTGGCATTGTCTTCTAACAAGATTTTGTATACATGTATGCGATATAAGCAGTGCTTTAATTTATTAAAGCTTTGAGTTTGATATATGTCAAGTAAAAGTATCTAGTGATCAGCAATGTTTTATTAGAGTTCCAGTGCAAATCATGCATTTCGGACATAACTTAAATCAGTTTCGGACATAAAATAGTTTCACTTTGGACATAAACTTAAATCGGATCGAAAAAAGCACTTGACCAAGACTTAGTGGGCTAACATATATCAGCTCACAAAATCACCCGCAAAATTTACTAAGACCGGTCGTAGGTCAAGTGTTAAGTCTAAGATTTTAACTAAAGAACACATTAATCCTTAATAAAGATAACTGCTACTAAAATACAACAACTTGTTTCAGAATTTACCCATCTTTAGTTCCTGGTGTCAAGGACTGATACTTTGAATTGATAGTTGATCATTTATGTACATACATGATAAAATAATCTTTTTAACTATTGAAATTTAAACATTTAAAGAGTAGTATTTTTAAAATAGATATAAGATGAATATTGTCTTTTTTTTGTTCAATCAATAGTAAAATGAAACATTTATACAAAAATTAACAATAGAGGCGGAAAAGGATTGTTTTGTTTTTATTTATAACGAGGTCATTATCTTTACTAAAGATAATTTTTAATTTAGTTAATTATAACCTTTAGATTTAGTAAGTTACTAAGCAGTAATAATAGTTACAATATTCTGGGACATAAGTCACATTAAAAGTTCATTATAGTGGAACCCCACAGGGCTCGAGCTAGTGGGCGATTCGGGCGAAATAGTCGCCGAATTCCGTCTGACTTCGCCGACATCCTACATGAAAGCGAAGAAGAAGTCGCCCGATTTTATTGATCCATTATTGTAAATTACCAACAATAACTGTGAATAACATGTGGTGTGTGTTTGCTTTGTTTACCCTCGCCGCCGGAAAAAGGGACTGTCATGCATCTCAATCAACGCGAAATGTCTTTAATCCGTTTGTTTACCAACATGTCATAAAAGTCTAATTAACAGACGCTCGAGGAACAATTAGACTCCGCCCACGGCGAGATTACCGATACGTGCGAGAAACCAATCGTAATTCACGTTTTAATCGAGGCGACATTATTTAACCAATCATTAAATCGCTAACATACAACTACCTGTAACAATTTGAATTATTTATGATGGACGGATCAAACGTCAGTTAAATTTTCACTATCGAATGATTGTCAAAATTAAGCGGAACCGCTCGACATATAACTGTAACGGTAATTTTAAATGAAAGTTATGATAACCTTTTTTGTCGACGAGTTAAATTTGATAAGATTAACGGCTTATTACACTGTATTTATTACAAATGAAGTGAAATTAAAGATCGTTTCTTTCGTTATCTACTTTCATTTTCTTTACAACATAAGTGAATATGAATATAATGTCCGGCGCAAGCTTTTTAATAATAAATCAGAAGGGAATAACTGTTAATCCACCCATGATATGATCCATGATAGGAATCAACTATGGCTTTTTTTATCTTCATTTAATGCAATGGTTGCATTACATGATACTCATTCTTATTACTTGTTTCAAACTACTTTTAAACAGAGACATAGATAACAATAGTTATAATAATAGCTATCTATGTCTCTGTTTTAAATTAAAATTGAATATTCTGTTGTAACACAAATCCAATTCATTTAATAAGATATGAACAGTGAGTCAACATAATTGGGATAACATACAACAAACATCGATAAATGAATCTCCCCACTTCTCCCTAAAGTCTCCCCACTTCTCCCTAAATCAGCTGGAGGGAGAAGTGACTTCTCCCTAAATTTTGAACCTAGCTTGAGCCCTGCCCCATTGTATCGTGCTATTCATTGTATCGATCTATTTACAAATCTTTCGATTTTTTTGCAAAATGCATATTTACTGATTGCTAACATTTACAAAAGTGTCACGAAAATCTTTCGCATTTGTTTTGTGCCGTAAAAATGGTCAAAAACAGGTTTCCAGTACCGTCAGACTTTGTAGATAAGAAATGGACTTATAAATAGTGTGTTCTTATTAAAAACACATTTACTGTCTGTTGAAAGTTCCTAAATTTATGCTGACATTTTAAAACAGACATCTTTGATTCTAATTGACTGGAAAATGTAGCATAAAGGTGGGCCAGACTTCCAAAACTTTGACTTAATGAGCGATTCTCACAATGCATCGATATAATGGCGTGACCTAATTCTTCAGGAAGTGGCTAGCCGTACGGGCCCGTACGGCTAGCCAAAAGTTCTAGCCGTACGTGAGTCACGTACGGCTAGCCTGGACACACTGTATTGGCTAGCCGTACGGCACTTTTCAAAATTATATGGAAGTCGAAAAAGCGTATGTTATTTTGTGTCTTTAAACGACGATTTTAATCAAATCTCCGCATTTGTCCTAGTGTCTTCACTTTAATAAAGATGCTCCGACATTTTGCACACACAAAAACTGAATACGAGTAAGCGTTGTATAATCTATCTTAATAACATTAAGTGTCAAAGTTGCATGTTATAACGTCCTTAATTTTCATGCTTATGATTTGTATGAAAGATGAATTGTTAAATCTGTTAATTAAGCACATGGATCGAATATATAATGATCGGAGGGGAATAAATAAATAAATAAATAAAAAGAGTATTAAAAAAAAAACGGTGATAAGGAAAAATAATTTAATAATGCAAACTTTCCTTAATGATGGACGATGGACAAACTTCTATACCGTCGGTAATTGACGCAATTATCAAAGCCCGACAACAATTATTTTCGGTGTTTTTTTTGTTTGTTTTTTTTTTTTCAATTTAAAAATTAAACTTAATGAAACAAAAAAGGATTATTATCAAAATTTTGTAAACCATTTCAATTGATGTTATTTAACTGCAACCAAACGCTATTTTTCTCGATGTCTTGAAATGACAAAGTACGTACATTCTTTACTGTAGCCAACACGTCGATTAATCTCTAAAAAGTAAACATTCTTGACTAAAATCCTCGCTTGAAGTCATAATTAACATATGCACTTTCGCCTTCCATATATTTTTGAAAAGTGCCGTACGGCTAGCCAATACAGTGTGTCCTGGCTAGTCGTACGTGACTCACGTATGGCTAGAACTTTTGGCTAGCCGTACGGGCCCGTACGGCTAGCCACTTCCAATTCTTCAACCTGTTTGACATATCTGTAAATAATCGTATATTCCAAAGCTAAAAACTATAAATCAGTGATGTTTGCCATGTAATATTTATGACAAAAGAATCAAAATAAATGATACAAAATAAAGATTCAGGGAAATTTAAGGTTTTTAACTGCAGTTGTGATTTATGGGTTAATAGATCGATACAACGGGATTCCAGGCTATATCGATATTTGAAATGTGGATTTCATTTCTGTTAATTCTGCAAAACATATCAATCTAAATTAAATTTTAAATTAGATATACAGTATCATATTTTTTAAATGCGAAAAGTCCAGGGCGAAAATGTGTAGGTTTTGGAAATTCTGTAATCTAAAAACTTTGTCCGAAATCATGTTCTCGTTTAACGACTAGTAAACATATTCAAAACCTGCAATGTATGAATACCTGCAACTATATGCAAGAAGTAAGTTGGAAACAATAGATGAAAATAAAATTGATACTATCTCGTTGACAAAAATATCTTTGATTATATTAAAACTTTAAAAATTTTGTTTTTATTGAAATACGAAATTTGCTCGTTTGCGGTGCATATGAAAACACAATCATTAGATTCACTCGAGTCTCAGACTGCTAATTTTTAGGTATATTTTATGGTTGTACATCACTAAAATATTTTTCATCTAGGGATGTCGAGGGAAATTTCAGTACCGTTATTTTCAAAATACAGAGATAGGAACCAGTTCATCTAGCTTTCATATTTAGGGTATATATTTTGCTGCAATATGTACTGTACCCTGAAATAACTAATTCGTTTTATCAAAAAAATAAATAAATATTTTTTTATTGCTTTCAAAGTAATATAAAAACACATTGTAAATATTATACTGTTTATCTCTAAATCAAATAGCTTTTCTTAGAAAAGAGAAAAGAAAACGTTGAAATTTCATTACTTTTTTTAAATTTTTCAATATTCATTATTTAATTACACACCAAACAAACCCTCTAAGGTTGTATAATTTAAAAATAATATAGTAAATAAAACATTTCTAACTTTCATATATTTGTCAATCGTCATTAAAAAAGGTAATCTTTTGAAATATATAGCTAATTCAACTCAACTTGACAATGAAAAATGAGCATAATATCACTTTAAATGAAAATTGAATTACATGATGACGAAATAACATGAATCTTTATTTATATGTACAATACCTACCTTTATATCTTGCTGATCTTGTTCACATACATGTACACCCATTGTCTCTATGGCAATGAAATCATGTAGAACTCTTTCTTGCTACAAGTCATTAAGTTGACCTTTTTATCAATCAATTGAATGCTGATTTACCAAGTTCAATTTATTTTCACTTATAATATAGATCAAAGGGGCTCCTGGAGTAATTCTCCTCCAACTAAAGTAATTGTCATTTGGGCGACTGCTAGATTCTCCTCCAACTAAAGTAATTGTCATTTGGGCGACTGCTAGAATATGGAAATTTAAAATGGTTTCTCAAATATATCTTGATGTGTAACTTTTAACTGCATTTAGTAGTTTAAAACTTTTTTACTATTTAGTCATTTTTCCTTTCCTTACACTTTTAAAAGTTAATTGGTAAAAGCTTGACATTCAAGTATTGAAGACAATGAACTACAATGTACAACATGTAATTCTACAAGAGCCACCAGCTAGCGTGGGCCACAATTGAATTTTTCCTATTTCTAAAGTACTTGAAGGTCTTGTCTATTGGATAGTTTTGTCCATGTATGAAAAAAATCTTTTTAAATTAAAAAAAGTAATAGCCAATATAAACAAATTCAAACACTTGACCTTAAAGGTCAAGGTCAATTAATGAGTCAAGGTCAAGTCCAGTCTACTTAAAGGTCTTGTCCAAAGGGTTGTTGTGTTCAAGGATGAAGGTAATCCATAAAATGATAAAACAATACTGTCCTGAATGTACATGTTTCTGGACAGCAATGGCATCAGCACTACTGGCAATAGCTTGAAAGTCAAACTAAAATGTCTTGTCACTGATTAAGAAAATTAGCAATGTGGGAAATATCCAAGATATACAACTATTCATATTGCCTAACTTAAACCAGTTTTAAGACTTGAAAAGTTTTACCAATTCTGTTATTTTGAGGTTAAATGATGTAATGCATGTACTGATCAAAGCCATGATCTCTTTAAATGTAGACAATAATTAATTTCTTATAGATTACATGTATGACTGTTTAATCATAGCTTTTTTAGTTGCAGTTTACATCCCACCAACACTGTATAGGTTATATGAAGACTTTCCAGCTTTACTGATGGAGGAAGACCTCAGGTGCCCCTCTTTAGCATTATTTCCATCACCTGAATAGAACCACCAACGTTCAGTACTTAAAGTTAGCTACATTGATTTCTCACATGAAAGAATCTACAGTCCCTAGGACTCGAACTTATTGTTGTTAGCTGTAGGTTGTTTGAAACCAATCACTTAGCCCAAGTCCCCCTTTCAAAGGAGTTCTTATTTGAAGTCTGTAGTTCCCACCTATATTACGATTAAAATATTTATGGTACTCAAATGCCATTGCAATGCAATTTCTCTGAGTAACTGCTTTGTTCATTTTCAATATTTATCCTCATGATACATGCCACAAATCTCTTAAATGATCAACTCATTGCTTTTTTGCTGTTATTAAAATATAAAAACAAGAGCGATCAATGATCACATGTGCAGCCTCATGATAGCCAATTGCATGCTGCACTTTTCACTGGCTACTGTGTAGCACAAAAATCATTAAAAGGACAAAACGCGTTTATAATTAAAGGGCCTGAACACAGTAAAAAATCAGTCAATAGGAAAACCAGTGAAATATGCACAAGTACTTGAGCTACCAATCAATCCTGCAAAGTTTCATTGAAATTCCATTAGTGGTTGGTATAAGAGGAATAGTCTGGACAAATGTTAAAAGTCAAAATCATTCAAGGGTCATAACTCTGAAAATCATTGAGCCAAAAAATGCCGATGATATGCACAATTAAACTTGGTATTGCTCGTTCTTCTTTCATCTTTGGATGACATTGGATCAGTGGTTTCTGAGGAGTAGTCAAGACAAACTTGTGAAGCTGGCAACACAAAAAAAAAAACATTGTTTTTATCAAAGGGCTATCACTCAACCAAAAATCATTTAAGCGGTTAAGCCGGTGTTATATGCACAAGTACTTGAGCTACAGATCAATCCTTTTAAGTTCCAGTGAAATCACATTGGGGGTATAAGAGGAGTAGCTCGGAAAACTTTAAAAATAAAATTTATTAGAGCCCTAACTCTGACAAAAACCATTGAACCGGAACATATCGAAGATATGCACAACTAGACTTGGTACTGATCATTTCTGTAAAGTTTGAATAGAATTGCACCATTAGTTTTAGAGGAGTAGTCTGGATATGTTTTGGGATTGTCAGACAGAGTGATCCCTATATGGCGCCACTTTTCTGTAGAGGCGACACAAAAACCAATGGGTTATTTTAGAGTGTTAACACATTATGTCCTAGTGTCAAAAGAAATCAATTTAAATTTTTCATATAAATGTACTTGGAAAATGAAATGAGCCGCGTCATGACAAAACCAACATAATGGGTTTGCGACCAGCATGGATCCAGACCAGCCTGCGCATCCGCGCAGTCTGATCAGGATCCATGCTGTTCGCTATCAGTTTTTTTACTTGTTATAGAGTTGTTAGCGAACAGCATGGATCCTGATCAGACTGTGCGGATGCGCAGGCTGGTCTGGATCCATGCTGGTCGCAAACCCATTATGTTGGTTTTGTCATGACGCGGCTCAAATTGAGCGTGTGTCAAGTGGATATACAGAAATAGCAAAGGTACATGTACGTAGCAACTAGTTTTACATAAATCATTTGTACAATATAAAATATTAGGATGTTTGTTTGCTTGTTTGATTGGTTTTTATGTCACAACGACACAATATAAAGTCATATGGCAACGTTCCAGCTTGACTGGTGAAGAAAGACCTTAGGTGTCCTTCCGTGTATTATTTCATGCACATGTTATTCAGTGTATTATTTAATGCACAAACATATTAGGATGTGAAAACAAAGAAAATAACAAAATATGCAATAATTCCTTTTTATTTCATTAAAAGTTTAACAACAATTTGTCAAATCAGTAACAAAGCACCCATATTTTCACTGTTTTTTCTTCCTTTTCAAATGTTTCTTTGCCTGACCTTTAACCTTTAGCTTTGATTTTAAAACAAGGGGACTTCTGTATTCTGAGACATCCAACTTCTGCTTCTTTGTTTTAAATCTGAAATTATTTTTTTAACAAATTTGATATAAAAATGTGCAATAGTGTGAAAAAAAAAACATGTACCATGTTGATATGCAATAAACGAATACACGCACGCCCAAACCCCAACTACCAATCACACCCACTCATTCTCATCCCAATAAACATGACATGTGCAATATATTTGCTCTGATGGGTTTACTTTACTAATAATTTGTCACAACAACTTCAATACAAACTTAAGTATAAAATTTTTGTTGAAAACTTTAAGATTCATTGGTCACATTTTGCTGTTTAAAACAACACCTGTATGTTAAATATAGTATCTCTCTTATATTTCATCTTCACTCAGATCAGCTGTTTACGTGTAGTAGAACGCCCATGCATGATAATGAAATTTTATGTCCCATAATTTTTTATATAAATGCGAGAATTTATCATAAATTTGTTGATTTTGTTTGATTTGGGTTTAACGTCACACCGGCACAGTATAGGTCATTTGGCGACATTCCAGCTTTACTGGTGGAGGAAGACCTCAGGTGCCCTTCCATGCATTATTTCAGGCAAAAACGGGCACCTGAGTAGAACCACCGACGTTCTGTAAGCTAGCTGGATAGCTTCCTTACATGAAAGAATCCAAAGTCCCTGTCGGGATTCGAACCCACAGTGGTGAGGGGCAAGTGGTATATAAATGCAAGAATTTATCATATATATTGAATAAAATCATATAATGCGAGCCTCTGGTGAGCATAATATTGTTCATGCAACAAGTTCAATTTTAGTATTGAATCTACACAAATATAATATTCTATTTATCATTTATCCAAAATAAGGAGTGTTTAAAGTGAAAAAGAATCATTTTTCAATGAGGCGCCTATTGTGTAATGCTAGCATTAAGCAAGTCTTTACACTAAGTAACACAAATGATGTCACATCAAGATATATGCACTGCTGTGCAATACTGTTTTTATAGTCGCAAAATCGGCATGGGTATGTGATGAATATATATATATTCGTGCAAATAGAACCATATGTAATGATAACAATTTATTACAGCATATGAAATGTTCACATATAATAATGAGCACAATATTTCACTTGCAATGAATGATCTCATAAAAAAGACCAACTTTACATTTTTCACAGAATATATCTCAAAAAATTTTGATAAAGGAGTCTCTAACTTTGATTTTTTTTTTTCAAGGAGACCTGTGTCAAAGGTTTAAAAAAAAAAAATTCCATGCTTAAAAGATTTTTTTTTTATCAGAAATCGATACAGAATGTGCAATGACCTATAAAAATATTGAGATCTAAGACAAATCTTACTAAAATTTTTATAATCTCCATTTTTTTTTTTTTTTTTTTTTCAATTTAATATTTTTTGCTTGGTAATTTTATGATTTGCCCCACTTCAATTCAATTCTTTTCCTTATTTCTAATCAAGAGGACCAATTTCATACATATATTTTTTTAACAGAAATACTACCAGTCTTTTTATAAAATTATACATAGATTTCATTTAATAAACAAAATTTTTTTTCATATTACTGTAATACAACTAAAATGAGCCCAAACTGATCAAATATACCAAAATTTATACAATGAAATCAGTCATAAATATAAAAACCTTTTTTCTGGTTCGAAATTTTTACGTTTTCCTTTCTGAAGCGTCACACCACTAACGTGACCAATATCTGACGGAGCTTCTCGTAGACCAAATGTCTTCGCAACATGTCCAAGATGAAGATTTCTGATCTGGAATATTGACTTCAGCTGATGCGGATATGTCGCATACGCTCGTATAGTTGACTGGTAGGCTGTAACAAGAATAAGTAAAATATCAAGATTTATAATAATGCACGTAGGCTGTAACAAGAATAAGTAAAATATCAAAATTTATAATAATGCACATAGGCTGTAACAAGGATAAGTAATATATCAGATTTATAATAATGCACATAGGCTGTAACAAGAATAAGTAATATATCAAGATTTATAATAATGCACGTAGGCTGTAACAAGAATAAGTAATATATCAAGATTTAAAATAAAGCACGTAGGCTGTAACAAGAATAAGTAATATATCAAGATTTATAATAATGCACGTAGGCTGTAACAAGAATACGTAACATATCAAGATTTAATATAATGCACATAGGCTGTAACAAGAATAAGTAATATATCAAGATTTAAAATAACGCACATAGGCTGTAACAAGAATAAGTAATATATCAAGATTTAAAATAACGCACATAGGCTGTAACAAGAATAAGTAATATATCAGATTTATAATAACGCACGTAGGCTGTAACAAGAATAAGTAATATATCAGATTTATAATAACGCACATAGGCTGTAACAAGAATACGTAAAATATCAAGATTTATAATAATGCACGTAGGCTGTAACAAGAATACGTAAAATATCAAGATTTATAATAATGCAAGTAGGCTGTTACAAGAATAAGTAAAATATCAAGATTTATAATAATGCACTTAGGCTGTAACAAGAATAAGTAAAATATCAAGATTTATAATAATGCACGTAGGCTGTAACAAGAATACGTAAAATATCAAGATTTAATATAATGCACGTAGGCTGTAACAAGAATACGTAACATATCAAGATTTAATATAATGCACATAGGCTGTAACAAGAATAAGTAACATATCAAGATTTAAAATAACGCACATAGGCTGTAACAAGAATAAGTAATATATCAAGATTTAAAATAACGCACATAGGCTGTAACAAGAATAAGTAATATATCAAGATTTAAAATAACGCACATAGGCTGTAACAAGAATAAGTAATATATCAGATTTATAATAACGCACATAGGCTGTAACAAGAATAAGTAATATATCAGATTTATAATAACGCACATAGGCTGTAACAAGAATAAGTAATATATCAGATTTATAATAACGCACATAGGCTGTAACAAGAATAAGTAATATATCAGATTTATAATAACGCACATAGGCTGTAACAAGAATAAGTAATATATCAGATTTATAATAACGCACATAGGCTGTAACAAGAATAAGTAATATATCATATTTATAATAACCCACATAGGCTGTAACAAGAATAAGTAATATATCAGATTTATAATAACGCACATAGGCTGTAACAAGAATAAGTAATATATCAAGATTGATAATAACGCACATAGGCTGTAACAAGAATAAGTAACATATCAAGATTTATAATAACGCACATAGGCTGTAACAAGGATAAGTAACATATCAAGATTTATAATAACGCACATAGGCTGTAACAAGAATAAGTAATATATCAAGATTTATAATAACGCACATAGGCTGTAACAAGAATAAGTAATATATCAAGATTTATAATAATACAACTACGCTGAGACAACAATTACGAATATATCAAAATTTATATAGCACTGGAATTAAATTTCCCCAATTCTGATTGGCTTTATCTCTTTTATATATTATGCTGTATATACTGTGAGGAACCCCGAGCACGCCTAAATAACAATGTTTTCTACATAATAGACAGAAACCTATATATGTGCATTAAATTCATCATTGCTAATTCTATTTATGACATAACTCTCACTTTAAATATCATTACTTCAAAAAAATAGTTAAGTTACACACAACAATGACTTTATATTAGCATTAGTTTTGACAGCACAGAGTTTGCATAGCCATTGAAGGTTAGCTCATGTCATCAAATAAATGAACATAAGTAGTTTTAGTGCACTGGGCCTTGGTTTAAAGTCTCATCCATGTGGAGTAGCGCTTAGGGGTAGCCGTCAGGTAAGCTCAATAGCTAGAGAGTTGGACTGTGAAGCAGGCAACCCAGGTTCAAATCCCGCCGGCGCAGATCACTTTCATTGTGATTGATCATGAAATCCTTTCTACAGTCATTCGCACTGTACCTTTGCTCTAGCATCAGTTCCTTGCAAAAATGAAGGTAACTAGTACTGGTAATGGCTTGACAACTTAAACAGGAATGATGTGGTGGCTGAACTGTGCTATGGTAAATTCAATGTGGCTCCCTTTCTTGACCCGGAATGTAAACTACCAACACCACCAATGTAGTGCTTGGGGATTGAAAACAAGATCCATCAATTATTTAACCATTGCTACAACAGCGCCAGGGTGTAAGGTTTTTTTAAAGATTTCTTTAAGCTAAAACTCAGATCTCAGGTATCTGGTATGTCATAAACCAGCACAGAATGATTATACTGACTAGTGAAAATCCTGAGATTTTACACAGAACTCACTCAGAAAATAGTTTTATAACTTCCTGGCCAGTCAGGTGCTTCTAGCAAGGCAGAATCTCAAAGTACAGAAACTGGTTCCTTTTTTAGCAAGACTGGTTCTCAGAATACAAAAAAAATGTTACCTCTTTTAGCAAGACTGGCCATATCTGTCCCATTCTTCACATACAGCTCACAACAATTCTGTAAATATGTAGCTGATTCCTCTATAGTTTTTGGAGGCTGCCTCTATACAACAACAGATAAATATATCATTAAAACCACAACATTATGCTTATTTTTATCATTGTCAAGTTGTGCTGAATTAGCTACAGTGTATATATTTAAAAAGACTGTCTATTGTAATAGGGAACGGCCAATAATTGATAATGAAAAATGATAAGGATAAAATATAAAAATTGCTTAAAATATAAAAAGAATGTCCCACTCATTCTATTTAATGAACATTACCTATGACTTACAAAGGTTATTTATAAAAATTCCCTTGAGTCATGTGAGTTATTGATTGTTTATGTGTAACAAAATAATGAATAGAAAACAATTATGACTAAATTCAAAGTTGTTAAGTCCTTTTCCAAGTACACTCACTACTTACACTTGGATGGGCATAATGTCACTTTAAATTCAAGTCTAATTGGAAATTAGGAGGACTAGAAGAAGCCAATATAACTTAAGCGTGATAGGTCATTTAGTTAGAACACTGACAATCACTCCTGAGGTCCTAGGTTCAATCCCAGGTAACACCCTTGACATTTTTCAGAGACGCTTTCTCACCTACAAAGAAGTGTACTTGTAAAAAATCCAGGTAATCCTCGTATGTATCAGTGCTACACACTGGGCATGTTAAAGAACCAAGGGGTCTATTCTATTAGAGCTAGGGACTGGTTCCCGAATTCCTTTGTATCTCATAGCTGTCTCTCAATTCAATTCAATGTATACAACATATACCTGCTTAGTGTAATCATAAATGATTTTGAAGCAGTATGATATTGATTGTTTGATTGGTTTTTACGTCATACCAACACAGTATAGGTCATTTGGCGACGTTCCAGCTTTACTGGTGGAGGAAGATCTCAGGTGCCCTTCCTTGCATTATTTCAGTCATGAACGGGCACCTAATGAACCACTGAAGTAGTATGCAAATTTCATGAAGTAATGAACACTTAAGCAGATAACTTTGTCTGTATAACAATGTCATGTGATATGAAACAATATAGGTTTCATCAGACCTATCAGACCAATCAGAATCATTGCAATATAGGTCACAAAGGTAAAACCCATGCAATATTCATATATACACATGAAGATGTACTTCTTATTCCAAATATTGAAATGATATAAATTACTAAAATATTATAAAGTGTAAAAGATTTAAGAATGTTTACAAAAAAACACTTATAAATGGTTTCTAACAATAACCAAGTAGAAAAGTTTGTGTACCTCTGTATCTTCTACACCTGGTAGAGAAGGAATTAACTTGCTGACATCTTCTAGTACCTTACCCAACTTTAATTCTTCTAAACTGAAATATACAGAAACAAAGTTGTAGACACTAATGTTAGACACTGAAAAGACAAGTAGACAAGTTAAAAGCTGCACGCCTCCAGATGAGCAAAAAATATTTCGATAAAATCAAACCTGGGAAAAATGCTCTAAGATTTGAGGAAAGGTATAAAGATTCAAAATTCTAGTAAAAATTCACATGTTATGTGCGTGTAAGGTATAAGCGTATGCAGATATAAATACCTGGAACTGTAGCCTTACTGAATATAACCTAATGGAAAGATTAAATTGAATAAACCTTGAATAATATATAAAATAACTGTATACCTTATATGGTGCTCATTAAGATGTTTTATAAATTGTATTTCTGAGGGTAAAATAAATATGATACTGCTTCCAGACGTCCCAACTCTCGCCGTTCTACCAACCCTGAAATAAAGACACAAAATTTCTGGAGTTTTCAAAATTTCATTCATTCATTTGGCAGTGTGGCTGTTTCCGTAAGGTTAAATTTGTATGACAGAGTTAAAAGCTGTTCACTCTCAATTATTTTCATAAATGTAAGCAAAAAGAAATATTCCACGCTATATGGCAGTGTTCCTTTTTTAATTCATCACCAAAATATATAAATTTGAAGAGAAAATGTGACCTAGTGATTAAGATGTCTGCATCTTAACCCAAGTTTTATCAAGTTTTGATCCTACATGGATCACAACATATTTATTTATAGAGCCCACACAAAATTGGTGACATTTGACCTTCAAGAGTGACCTTGACCTGATGAAACAACAGCATGGGTTCTGCACAGTTTTGTTGAGGTGATCATTAGCATCAAGTTCGAAGAAAATCCTTCAAAATGTACAGGATTTCAATAGCAGAAATAGTTGACACATACTGACTGATCACGAGTGAAGACAAAATAATTTCTGTATACATTAAAGTCTGAACCAAGGAGGAATAATAATCTGCCTGGGGTTATCATTACCTTTGTTTGTTTTGTTTTAATTGGGTTTTACGTCACACCGACACAGTATATGTCATATGGCGACGTTCCAGCTTTACTGGTGGAAGAAAACCTCAGATTCCCTTCTATGCATTATTTCAGGCACGAACAGGCACCTGAGTAGAACCACCGACGTTCCGTAAGCTAGCTCAATAGCTTCCTCACATGAAAGAATCCAAAGTCCCTGTTGGGATTCGAACCCACAGCGGTGAGGAGCAAGTGGTTTGAAGTCAACAACCTTAACCATTCGGTCACGGAAGCCCCTTATCATTACCTGTGAACATAATCTGTGACAGCAGACGGACATGTGTACTGTATAACCCATTCTACAAAAGGTAAGTATAATCTGCCAGGAATTATCATTACCTGTGAACATAATCTGTGACAGCAGACGGACATGTGTACTGTATAACCCATTCTACAAAAGGCAAGTATAATCTGTCAGGGATTATCATTACCTGTGAACATAATCTGTGACAGCAGACGGACATGTGTACTGTATAACCCATTCTACAAAAGGTAAGTGTAAACCTCTTGCTGCTACATCTGTACACAATAATAAACCTGACTTGGCACTGCAGAATTCTTGAAAGGCTGTCGTCCGATCCTTAAATAGAAGATCAATTAGTAATTTATACAGTTTCCATTACATGGAAATTTCCTGATACGAGATATAAAAGTATATAAAAACTTCTGTACAACATACATATTACTTTAATGAATATTAAAAACAATTCAATAAAAAATGTTAATATTTAAAGTATAAAAGTCCAGATATTGCAATGAAGATGTTTCATCTGGTTTGGTTACAAGGTCTTCTGCTATACAGAAGTGCTTAAATAGATGAAGTGCTCAAGATTAAAATCTTTTTTTTTCTAATTTTTTTAAAAAACTCTAGCCTAATTTGTTAAGAAAAATACCAAACGCTTCCAATGCATAATATAAGGTCACAGTCAACCAGGTAGTAACACAACCTCGGACATTCTTACAGCTCACTGGATAACTTTCTTTTATGAAAAAGGAAGACAAAAAATGCAAAAAGTGTTACCTTCTGGGCCATGTGACCATGCAGACGGTAAACATCTAGACTGGTTACTGGTTCCTCATCTTCCACATCACTATCATTACTCTCACATTTACTCAAGTATTGAACCAGTCTGTATAGAAACTCAACACCATCTTGTGTTGATGTAAACACAATCATCTTCTTGTGTAGTTCTCTCTGTAATTAAAAACAAGACAATTGTACTTGATAAGTACATTTAAATTATGATTTCATAGGCACTTCAAATGTCCAGTTATGTCCTATAAAGGGCTCAGGGCTTTCTTTTACAGGATGGGGTAGGGGAAGCAGCTCTTCCCCTAATTTTGAGAGGAAATAAAATGGTATTTTTTGTAAAAAGTGGAAAGAAAAACTTGACATCAATTCAATTTTTTGGGGAAAAACTGCATGATTTTAAAAATTTTTACTTTGGTGAAGCCCTTAAATAGCCTATGCTATAGAATGAGAAAAATCCCTTGGACTTGAAGTGAAATGGTTTTTAATTGAAGGTCTGTAATACAATTAATATGTTGATAGTATTAAGTAATAGATAAAAAAATAAACCACGAAAGAATTAAATATGGATGTTGTTGGCAAGAGTGTGATGCATTATCTACTATTACATGTATTTTCATAGCAGATAATAAAATGTTCTAGAACAAAATATTATTATTCTTCATATAAATGTTTATACCTTATCACTCAGAACTTTATCAATGTTTCTTTTTTCAAGCAATATTTTATTAGAAAATCCAAATGATACATTTCTATCGTTTTTATCAATCTCTCAATACTCCTGGAAAATGTGCCCATAATAAACCAATCCACTTAACTATCAACATCAACCTTGTCAGACAGCAAAATAGCATTTTCATTTTTGGTTCAGTTTAACGTTGCACAAACGCTGTAAAGGTCATGTGGCAACTTTCCAGCTTTACTGGTGGAGGAGTACCTCTCATGCTCCTCCATGCATTATTTCAGGCACTAACAGGCACATGAATAGAGTAGACCCATCAATGTTCTGTAAGCCAGACAGATAGCTGCTTTATACGAAGGAAGCCAGAGCACCTTTCCAAATTTGAACCCACACACATGAGGGAAAACCTAACACACTCTGGCACACAGTATATTAAACAATACAAAGAAAGAAAGCGAATTGATATTGGTCTGAAGAGGCTATAAATAGACTAAATAATATAATAAATAGTACTTTACCTTGCACTTTGTAAGGATTAATATCAGTAAAACAACAAGTCTAAGTTTACACGGTGTCACTACAAAATATTGTTTTAAACTGTCCGGCAAGGCAAACTTTTCTTCATTTTTTTCTTCACGTTTAGATGCGTCTTTTAATGTTGTGTGTTTCTTCGTGCCGTCGTCTATCTCAGACTTCACGTACAATTTACTAGAAGATCTGTTTTCTGTGACAGATACTCTTTCTGGGTCATTCAGTGAAATACCAGCCAACTTTTCAACACCTGTAATACAGTGACACTCTTTTTCTGCACTATTATTCATCCAAGTATCCAAATTTAAAAGAAATTTACAATTAATAACAGCAATATTGTTCATGACTTAGGAATCTGAATTTAATCAATTTAACGTTTTATCAAATACAAAAACTGAAACCTTTTTACACAAAAACGTCAACTTCACATTATTTTTGTTTAGGGTTTATGTTGCAACATGCCATATGGTGATTTTCCAGATTTATTAAATGAGCAGATCCCTCAATAGAACCACTGCTGTTCCATAAGCTAGTTGATACATTCAAAACAATATTTATAAAAAATTCCATAGGTCACGTTTACAGATTACTTTTGCATAATTTAATATAAAATTGAACATAATTTTGGCAAAATGTAAAGTTTTTTTGAGTTTTACCTATGCACTAACCATTTACACTTGGAAAGGCATACAGCCACTTTGAATTAATTATAAGAGAAGATTCTAAATAACATTTTCACTACTGAAGTCATTTAACAGACTTGCTTTACTTTGAATCTGAAACAAACCAGTCTCAAGTTTCAGTGATATTAGTATCACAATACATGTACAATGATTGAGCAGCAGACGTTTCACAGAATGGTTCCATTGCACAGACGTGGGGATTGACCTCATGGTTCTATAATGGTTTGTTTGTTTTGTTTACCTTTACCAACACAATTTAGGTCATATGGCGATGAAACAGGAAAGATGATTTTGGCTAACCTCGATGTTACAAACGTAGAAATATTCTACACTCAAACTCAAATCTCAGGTATTTGATTGGTCAGAAACTGTCACAGAACCTACATTTACTAATGAAATCCCTGAGATTTGAAACAGAATTCATAAAAAATGTTTTATAACCTCGAGAACATGGGTCAAAACCACATCACCTGCTGGAGCTAAAAAGATGCATTGACTACAGTAATTCGAGTCCATTTAGTCACCTGTTACGCTCACGTAGGGATAAACAGTAGCTGCAAGTCTGATGCCACAACCCTTAAAGGCTACCCCTCAGCCACAAGGGGAACTATACTTATGGTGGCAAATGTTTTTGCCCCTTTCATTTCTGCATTGTTAGGGTTATGAAGAAATATTAAAAATATTTACCATGTGATAATGTTGCTGATAGTAGTACTGTTTGTCTGTTCATGTTCTGTTTATTTATTGCTTGTATTATATTTGAAACTTTCTGTTCAAACCCCAGATCTAACAACCTTTTAACAAAAATGAGATTTTTTATGTAAGTGTTTTAACATCTATAATTGCAATTACAGGTGTAAAATTTCTGCTGACAAAAGGCAAGCTTGCAAAAAATAAACATAGAAATTATTAGAGAGATACATGTATGCAATCTGGATAACACTGTTTTCTGCTGAAAATATTTATTTACATTTTCTAATTGAAATGCAGATGTACTTTGTTAAATCAATCCAATTTCCCTATTGACTCTTACAGTCAAAGAAAATAGAAAGTCTTACAAGATATTAAAAAGAAAATGCCAAAATAAGTAGGATTTTATACATGTTGTGTCAATGTGGTAAACAGGAGCTGCATTATGTCTGAAAGAAGTAAATTTCTCTAAGTTAGCTGGTGAATAAGTTCCAGTCAGTTTGTTTGTTTGTTTGGGTTTTACGTCACACCTACACAGTATAAGTCATTTGGCGACATTCCAGCTTTACTGGTGGAGGAAGACCTCAGGTGCCATTCCTTGCATTTTTTCAGAATGAACAGGCACCTGAGTAGAACCATCGACGTTCCATAAGCTAGCTGGATTTATAGAATGGACAAAACTACACACCTTTCATTTTATAGAGTGGACATAACCCCACACTTTCTAATTATTACATGTATTTATAAAAACATATAATTCACATGATTTTGATCTTGTAACAAAAGAACAAAACAAATTATTCACTTATGTTTGACATAGTTACCTTTATTATTTTACATAGTTCTTTTGATCATGACAATTAATGGTGTGTTATAATTTATTTCAATATACAATACAATATGATAATAGACAATACAATATTACAAACTGTTAAATAAAAATAAAAGGGTAAACATTCATCAATCTTAATGAACATTAATTATTCAAAGTGTCAACAATGTCCTTTATTTTATTGTCAATCAAAGGTCTATACAAATTAGTAATAAAAAGTGTGGTGATATGTACATTCTATAAGCAAGAGGCCTCCGTGGCCGAGTGGTTACGGTCGCTGACTTAAGATCACTGGTCCCTCACCGCTGTAGGTTCGATCCTCACTTGGGTCGAAATCTTTCATGTGAGGAAGCCATCCAGCTGGCTTATGGAAGGTCGGTGGTTCTACCTGGGTGCCCGCTCGTGCCTGAAATAATGCCCGGAGGGGCACCTGGGGTCTTCCTCCACCAATAAAAGCTTGAAAAAAAAATTGACGAAAAAATCACGGCGGGACGCTCTAGGATGGCCCGACTTGAGTGTACGGTCGCCCATTCTATAAAATCCAAGGTGTGGGGCTTTATCCACTCTGTAAAACTTTAAGGTGTAGGGTTTTAACATGTGGGGTTTTGTCCGTTATCAAACAAAGATTGTTACCTGTCGGCTTCATCCAGCACCAACCATTTAATCCTGTCTAGTAGCAGATTCTTTGTATTCTCAATGTGGTCAATTAATCTCCCAGGTGTTGCCACCAAAATATTTATCCCTTTACGTAATCTAAAACAAAAATAAATAAAAGTACTTTACCCTTTCACCCGAAACAAACTGGGATATATAATTCATAAAACTTGAACAAACTAAATCTCTCACAAGATTTTTTCCTCACTGTATAACTATAAAATCATGGGGAAATTTTTACACGCACAAAGATTAAACCAGCAAATGCAGGATTACTAATCCGACACTGCAATAATTCAGTGTGTGGACTGACACATCACATAAATCATAATAAATAAGGGCAAACAACTGAATATTTTCAATTTTTCAAATCTATTGTAAGACCTGCTGGTCAAAAAGGAAGAATTCAATGATAGACAGGATACACAATATTAAATATTTACACATTACAACTGGCGGGGATAATCAAACTCTATATACCCTGAAGCAACTGATATTTTACAATTGTTAAAATTCCACCAATCAGAGGGGTGACATGAAAAGGTACAGACATGTATATATATAAGCTTGATAGAATGATGGCCAAGACATGCAACCGTCCATGCAACTTTATCGGGATAAGGGGCCATTTCCTTTGATATTTCTTCTTTTGTTTAATAGAGGGCCATTGGCCATTTCCTCTTTTGTTATGGAATGATCTCTATCATTCTCTTTACAGTCAGAAAGCCCTGTATCCCAATTTGGTAATGCAATTATATCTATAGCACAATGTTTACCTAGCCTTTTCTGCTTTTCTTTTCTCCCCACCCATGATGCAGCCAGGTACCAACCATGTGAATGGCTGAAACAAAATAAAGCACTTCATGTACTTTGATTCAATGGTTATCATTAGACTCCGCAACAGTCTAACCTATGAGTCAAACCTATGGATTTTTTTTTTCAAATCTGTATGTATCTATTTTTTATCAATCAAGAAAATATCAACTGCATGTATACACCTCTATAATATCAAAATATAACAATTGTAATGGATATAACTAATATTGGACAGTCACATGATACAATTCAAAAGCACCGATTGGGTGTTACAACTAGATAATTATTATAGTACAGAATTAAATAAAATATGAAGGAAATGTGAAGAATTAAATCTGTATATTATATGCAATTGAAATAAATGATTAGGAAATATAATTACCTTCAGTAACTTGAGAAAAACCTCATAGCTCTGTATAGCTAACTGTAAACAAAGAAAGAAAACATTTTTTCTTCTTTTCTCTTTTCATTTTGTAACTCAGTATGACTCCGTTTAACATTAAAGGGACTCCACCGAAGTTTTTTGACATGAAATATATTTTTCGAGATAAATGTTCCATTTGATGTAGGTCTAGACCAAATGCATGTGTGCAAATTTTCAGATCATTTGCTCACTTCAGGATCATTATTGTAATTGTGAAAAATAACCTAAATTTGAAAAGTGTTGCAACGCTTTTCACCAAAATAGGGCCAAGAAAAGCACAAAAATACGTTTTGCAGTTTATTTATGTGGATAATTCTTAATGATTTATTTTGTATATTTTTCTGTTTGAAGTGCCCCAGGTGATCTATACAAGAAATTCAAATTTCATATTTTTAGGCTTTTGGACCTCAGTGGAGTTCCTTTAAATATTTTTTTTTGTGAGATTTTCTTTTTCCAGCATCATACTAGCACCAATGTAGAACCATAAACCAACATTCTGTAAGTGGGACAGATAACTCTCTCATGTCTCAACAAAATCAAACTTACTCTGTTATAAATTAAGTACAGAAAAAGTGTTTTAAATCTATTTTTATCAATGAAGTTAAACAAATAATAAACTGTCCAATTTCTTGGAAGTTGTTCTTTTTCCTTTTTTTATATGAAAGTACATGAGCAAGCGTGACAAATTTTTGTAAGTTTTAGTCCTATTTACCTCTCTGGTTGGCACAATGACAACGGCTATGCAACCATTACATCTTTGAATTTTGGGCGTCATCTTACATAAATCCTCTATAATGGGTATCGCATAGGACATTGTTTTACCTGGAAGGCAAAAGTTTGAAAACTTTCAAAAATTAATAAATCAAGGCAAAAGTTTGAAAATTTTCAAAAATTAATAAATCAAGGCAAAAGTTTGAAAATTTTCAAAAAATTATAAATCAAATGTTTTTTTAATGTCAATATATGTACAAATGTAGTAGTATGTCTGTACTTCAGTGTAATAGTGGCATTTCAGTTTGAAGAATGAGTTTGGTATCAGCAACATTTCCCTTGTCCATATATAACTAATATTGTACACATAGAGTAATATGAAAGTTAAGGTTGTAACGGTTTACCGGTATACCGATATACATGTATTTTAAGCGATCTTTGTTGGCATCAGCAACAATGCCCTTGTCCATATATAACTAATATTGTACACATTTAGTTATATGAAAGTTGTCTTATTTTTAGCGATCATTTTTGCGAGGTCACCTTATACAAGATTGACTAGAAGTTTTTACCACTAAAGGTAAACCGTAACCATGCTTGAACCTTAAGTGTTTAGCCTTTGCCACCAGTATAGAGCTTGCTTGTACTTCAGTCTAACCAAGCTCTAAACTGAAGGCTTTAAATTTTCATCTTAATTTAAACAATTTTTTTTTAATGTAATTATTTCATTTACATAATAAATTACATTATAAATTAATTTTACAGACTGAGTAGAAAACTTAGGGTTTTTCTAAACAAAAAAATTTTGTCTTGATATGCTTGAAATTGGTGATGTACAGTTCCAAAATGGAAGCTTGACAAGTCTGTTTTAGAAATTCAGCATGATAATAGTTAAATAAATAATGCTTAAAACAGAAGAATCTAAATCGTTCTTTATCCAAATACCTGAACCAGTCTGTGATTGAACGAGTACATCCCTGCCAGCAACAAGCAGTGGTATAGCCTGGTGCTGAACAGCTGTCATCTTTGAAAACCCTAACTTCTCTAAATTACTTTTCTGAAAATAGACAAGCATCTTATATAACATTATTTTCAAACATGCATGTAATTACCAATTTCTCAATTAACCGACCAACTTCTAATTTCACATGATTTCCAATCAGCGATGAGAGTCTGAATGACCATTAGACTTAAAGTGACATTATGCCCATCCAGGGGTATATAGTAGTGAGTGAACGGGTGAAGATCAAAATATGTTTTCATTTTGCCATAATCCCTTTTAATTTAATAATTAAGTTCACATAAACAATAGATAACACACAAATCCAAATGAAATATCTGTAAATATCCGTTAGAATTTACGTATAACGCTTAGTTTATAAAAAGAGTGGGTCAGTCTTTTTAAATTTTAGGCAGATTTATAATTTTATCCTTAACATTTTCCAATATCAACTGTTGGTCAAACACCATTTTGACAGTCAATCTTTTGAAATATAAAGTCAATTCAGCTCAACTTGACTATGAAAATATGAGCATGTCACTTTAATGCCCGAAATCTATTGTCACAGAGAAATTAACGATCAGTAAGGATGGCACAAGTCACCCATGTATTATAAATCTCATGCTCTCCCTCGTAGCCTGCTCTTAACCAAGGAAATCATCTATTAAACCTTTTCACTAAATATATATATATATACATGTATGTTGATTACCAGGCATTTTATTGTATCTTATATCTGAACTATTCTCATCTTTGAGTAAAATACTTTTATTGCAGAAATTTTTTGAAAATCTATAAACTGTTTACTTAAAATGTCTTATCTAAATAAAAGAACATATACCTATGTATGGGAATCTGTGTTCCTTATTACGGGTCAAGCTTGTCTTTTCTTAAAAAAACCTGCCACATTTTTTAAGCAATCTTTCTACAACATTGTATAATTATAGTATATACATGTATATGAGTTTTTTTTGTAGTACAGTTAAAATAATAGTTTGTATCATACCATATATGGGTGCAAAGGTGTTTCCTGAAAACTGTCTGATGAAAATAAATATTCTCGAACCTGGACGACATGATCACTGAAAATAATGAATAAATTTTGGTTAATTTTGCGTAAAGGGTACACATCTAACTAGTAATGCAACATCCTAGACTTGTTTCCGAGGGATCACTTTGTTTCCAGATTTTTTGTTTTATTGGATTTAAGCCACTTCAATTCTGTAAATGTCATTATGTTGACATTGAAACATTAGTAGGTGGAGGAAGACCTCAGGCTTCTTCTTTCATTTCTTATGGCAACAGAAGGCACCCGAGTAGAACAACAGACATTTCATAAGCTAGCTCAATAGCTTCCTCGGGTGACTTAACTCCAACCCACAGCAATAAAGGGTAAGCACGTTGAAGAAGGCAACCTTTACCACTCAGCTTTGAATGCTTCACAATATAAAGAAGTTGAACTGTATACCATAATTATAAAGTTCAAAGACTGTAAAATCATGTATATTCTAACCATGCATGAGTTCATATCATGCGTGATTTCATATAAGGCCTGATTTTGAACAAAAATTGTCCTTTAAGCACATGTGAATCATGAAAAATAACAGAATAAAATGCTCAGTGACAAAATATTCAGGTGCTATTTTTCTAAAAGGGTTTATTAATTATTTCCCTCATGCGCTAACCACTTTTACAATTATTTATTTTTCAATTATGATAGTTATCTTTGTATGATTTGTAAACAAGATACAAATATACAGACAGCCAAATAAATGAATAAGAATCCTGTAATAAAACATCTAGAAAACCTGGTCACCTATGTAGTTCCGGCACATCTGGATTATGTGAAAATAAGGATGATATGACAGGTCCGGACTTCTTCTGTTTGTCTGGTCTCTGACCTGTATCACCGCTGATAGCCTTCTCACTTTTATTTTCCTCATCAACAACCTATCATTACAAAACCATAATATCAATAAATACAAGCCATTACAAGACGTTTCAAAATTTTGATTATAATTTTCGGTAAGTTTGTTTGATTTGGTTTTAAATCACACCGGCACAGGATACAAGTAGCAAGGTTCCAGCTTTACTGTTGGAGAAAGACCTCAAATGCCCTTCCATGCATTATTTTAGGCATGTACAACACCCGAGTAGAACTACTGACATTCCTTAAGCTAGCTGGATAGCTTCCTCACATGAAAGTCTCCAAAGTCCCAATTGGGATTCAAACCTGTAGCGGTAAGGGGCAAGTGGTGTGAAGTCAACGAACTTAACCACTCGGTCTGATACAGACGTCCAATTTTTGGGTAAGAGAATATTCTATAAAGTTTCTGAAAACCTTTAAATAATGTATTTCCATTGGATACCATATATGGCATCAGTTACCTAATTAACTATTTTCTGAACTTTGTAATAGTAAAAAGAATTTTTTCATAAATTTCGAGCCTGCTGTCAGTAACTATTTCTACCAATAGGACCAGTGCCGACAAAGATTTAGCCAGCACATTTGTCTGCACTGTTCGCTATTCTGTTTAGCATATACTTTTAAAATTTTCAGTCAACTTGATGAATGGCTTTGTCCAGATTGAAACATTGACATGTCCATTTTGGAAATTTAGCAAGGTAAAGGTTAAGAAAGAGAAAGTTTTAACAAGCCTTTAAGCTGCCATATATTTTGAAAAATTCAAATCAACTGACAAAAATATCAGTAGGAAAAATTAAACAGTATTTATTAGTCATGTCACATTTCCAATTTTTTAAGTTTTGTTCCATTTTATTTTTTTTAATTATAAAAGTTATTAGAAAGTTTTTAACAAGCCTTCAAGCTGCCATCTATTTCAGCTCATATATATATACTTTGAAAAAATTCACATCAATTGATAAATTGATGAGCAGGAGAAATTTAAAACGAAACAGTATTTTTAAGCAATAGCATATCTTAAACAAAAAAGTTTTGTTAAATTTTTTTTTTTTTTTAATACTATAAACTATTACTGTCCTTTTACCTTGCCATGATAGTTTTCATGTGAGACATGCTCTTCTGTAAGTGTCAGTCCAGCCTCATTGTTCTTTGTCTTCAACTGTTTCAAAGATCTTCTAGCTTTGATTCTTTGACCCTTTAAATAAAACAAATTTTAAAGCTTTAAATTATATAACAATGTGGCAATGTCGATAAAAAGTACTGATTATTTGACATACATGTACATTTATGCATTAGTAATTTGTGCATTGTAGCCCTGCAAGAGACAGTGGGGATTTTCAATTTCAAGCCACTGTGGATCCCTTCACTACATGTCACTGACAAATCAGATGGTATTAAAAATCAAGAAGTGGCTAGTGGCCCATACTGCTGGCCAAATGTTCTCCATATACAGCTAACCTATCAGGCCTTTTCTTAGCAATTATGAGAAAAAGTACATTACCCAATTGAGAAAATTTTGTCTCGTAAAATTGCTTAATTGGGAAAAACATTTGCATGGTGTATATCCATATCAGTACCCTCATTGCAAAATCTACTCAAACGGCACCCTCTTTGCACATGCACAGGCCATTCTCTGCTAAAAACAAACCAATCCAAAGAAAATTAATTGTTACGAGGAAAGGACATATATGTCATGTGGTATAGTAGTACTGTAAAGGCTGTCTTAGTGACCCCTTATATATAGCGACGTTCTGTCTTTAGTGACCCATAAAATAATAGGTTGCACCGAACAATGTTTAATTTATATATAAATGGTCTGTATGTAGCGACTCCCTGTCTAGTCAGTACAACGACCATGATTTAGCGTCTCCCGTTACGGTATAAAAGCTGTGCAAAGCAACTTTTGCAAAAGTAAATCGGATGGGGTTACCAAACAAGAGGCCATGATGGCCCTGAGGTCGCTCACCTGTATATAGGCCCCCCAACCCCCACCCCCCCCCCCCCCCAACGTTGCAGAGCCAATTTAACCCAAGGGCTTTTATTTGCACAAACTTGGTAGACACCCATAAGAAGATGTTTCATGCTAAACATTTAAGCTCTAGCTCATTGGGCTTTTTAAAAGAAGATTTTTTTTAAGTTTTTACTATACACATATAGTTAAAAACAATGACACCACTGGGGCCGGGCCAGTTTTGACCCCAGGGCTTTTATTTGAACAAACTTTGTAGACACTTACTAGAAGATGTTTCATGCTTAATATCTAAACTCTAGCTATTTGGGTTTTTTCAAAGAAGATTTAAAGTTTTTGCTAAACACATATAAAGAAAATGAATGACCCCCGGGGCGGGGCCAATTTTGACCCCTGGGCTTGTATTTGAACAAACTTGGTAGACACCTATTAGAACATGTTTGATGCTCAATATCTTAGCCATAGCTCTTTGAGTTCTTTAAAAGAAGATTTTTTAAGTTTTTACTATATGCATATAGGGAAAATCAATGACCCCCCGGGGCGGGGCCAATTTTGACCCCAGGGCTTTTATTTGAACAAACTTGGTAGACACCCATTAGAACATGTTTCATGCTAAATATCTTAGCTGTAGCTCTTTGGGTTCTTTAAAAGAAGATTTTTTAAGTTTTTACTATATGCATATAGGGAAAATCAATGACCCCCTGGGGCGGGGCCAATTTTGACCCAAGGGCTTTTATTTGAACAAACTTGGTAGACACTCACTAGAAGATGTTTCTTGCCAAATATCTAAGCTCTAGCTCTTTGAGTTCTTTAAAAGAAGATTTTTTAAGTTTTTACTATATGCATATAGGGAAAATCAATGACCCCCGGGGCGGGGCCAATTTTCACCCCAGGGCTTTTATTTGAACAAACTTGGTAGACACCCATTAGAACATGTTTCATGCTAAATATTTTAGCTCTAGCTCTTTGGGTTCTTTAAAAGAAGATTTTTTAAGTTTTTACTATATGCATATAGGGAAAATCAATGACCCCCCGGGGCGGGGCCAATTTTGACCCCAGGGCTTTTATTTGAACAAACTTGGTAGACACTCACTAGATTATGTTTCATGCCAAATATCTAAGCTCTAGCTCTTATGGTTTTTAAAAGAAGATACTTAAAGTTTTTTCTTTCGGTTGCCATGGCAACCAGAGTTTTGCATGGAATTAAATTCTTTGAACAATTTTTAAAGGTGACCACCAAAGGAACATTCCTGTGAAGTTTGGATGAAATTGGCTTAGTGGTTTATGAGGAGATGTCATTTAAAGTAAAAGTTTACGGACGGACGACGGACGGACGGACGCCAGACGGACGGACGCCGGACGAAAAGCGATCACAAAAGCTCACACTGTCACTTTGTGACAGGTGAGCTAAAAATTAAGGTTTTTAAGAAATTAAAATTAAATTTCAAATCTAGTGGTCCGGCTTACCTCCTGTTAAAAAAGTTAGTGTCGAGGCCTGGTAGTCAAACATATTAGATGAATACATTATCATACATGTATATAATTTTTTTTATAATTTTTCGTATGATGTTTGGCAAGTCCAACTTATTGTACTGCGCAACGAGATACTGTGCTTTTTTGCATCTGTCAATATCTTGCCTCTAGCGAGATTCTCACCCAAAATTAAACTATCTCAGAGTCTAGCTTAAATTGGCAAGCCAATATATTTTGACTACATGTTCGGCCATTTACATTCCAATATCTTGTGAAGTTGTCAGATATATCATGACAAGTTATCAGATAAATCTATCAGAAATAAGTTGAACTTTAATTAAAGAGTTTTCGTGAGCAGATGTAAATTCTGACTGTTCGAATTGATCAAGATCAGACAGGGTGACAATATAGTCCTATAACATAAGACGTTTCCGTTAGTACTACGTACACTCCAACGTCTTATCGACTTCTTCATAAGTTCCTTTAGCAAAACCCGCCCACATGTATACAGGTAAAATGGCCGAATGTTTATGGCGGTGAAAGAGGTGTAAATTGTATTGGATTGGATTTATTTACATTCGAAGGTGAGTCATTTATTTTTTTTGCTGCACATTGATGCAAAGATGTTTAAATTTACTGTCTGCATATCTTTTGACTCAAAATATTGTTTTTGTAGTAAATTACGACGGTTTATATAGCGCTTCAAAATCGCTGCGCGTGTTGCTAAAGGAACTTATTCAAGAAGTTGATAAGACGTTGGAGTGTACGTAGTCTGAACAGAAACGTCTTATGTTGTAGGACTAGGTGACAATAATGTTCATGGGAAGCTGTTCCAAAAGTTAGTCCAACTACTTGTACTGCGCAATGAAATATTGTGTTATTTTTGTGTCTGGGCAATATCTCATCTCTAAAAGCGAGATTCTGACCCAGCACAAAAATACATGAAATACATGTATCTCATAATCAAACTTTGGCATGGCAATATATTTTGACAATTTCCAAAGTGTGATACAGTGTACAGTGGGGAAAAAACGAGAACTTATGGTAGTCTGATGTTACTTGTATTTTCCTAAGAGATATACCCTATTCACATCGTGCACGTACCTATGGGATTGACAATCAAATTTATGGTTCTCACCGACAGTGTTCATTTTATTAGTTCTTTTTCATAAAAGATAAAATATGATGAATTATATTACCCGGTTTCCACTTATACGCGTTTTTGCACCGAACTGTGTTCCTTTGCGCGACACATTTATGTTTAAACTGATCCCTGTGTCCAAATCGTCAGACATAATGCACTGTCAAAGTTTAACTATTAATTGAACAAATTTTCTTTACATCAACATGTGGTTTCAGTGTTGTGGTGCGAATCTTCGTACTCAAGTATGTTCTGATCCCCTCGGCTAATATCGCTCCGATATCGGTTACTCACTACTAAATGTTTTCCTTCTTCTATAACAACAAGTAGAGATTTTGATGCTAAAGCATCAAGTCGCCGGATAGAAATATGATTGTATTATCATAACTAAAAGAAAATATCAGTTTAATGGTTCGAGTATAAAGAAAATAGGAACAATAAGTTGAGTAATGTTTATTCATAAACACGTTTACATGTACTTGCCACAATTATATCTTTCATGCTATAAACTTTGTAATAGAGTTTTATGCAATAAATTTATGTTATACTCAACATAACTAATTCCGCGTCATCATTTATCTCACGGTAATGGCATATTTTCATGTGACCATTGTTATAATTGGTCAGAATTGACATATTTTATTCAAACACCTTAACAACAAAGTTTTTGTGCAAAATAATTTAAATCTATAGATTTTTACGTTAAACTGAAAAACATTTTACAAACTTCTGCAAAAAACAACAATAGTCCATTAAATTTGTGCATACGTCTGAAACAATCATTATTTTCTAAATGTTCTTGTTTGTTGAAAAAATAAATTTTGAGTTACAATGTAAAAATACTTTTAATATTTAAAATTATGCAAAATAACTTAAAGAAATTTTAACTGAAACATGAAAAAACTGAAATAAAACACCATTACCGCGAGGTAAATGATGACGTACTGTTTTCAAAATGGCCGACACACGGTTTACCTCTGACAAAATAAAACTAATTTTGATTGAATATATTGTTGTTTCCTTGTGTCATATAACAGAAAAATGACTTAATGATACAGTTTATGACAGTTTTTGTAGTGTAAGTTTATTGTTTGTGTTCTTTACTGTTTTAAAGTGTTAAGTACCGTGAACTAAGAGGAGCACAGTATATGTTATAATAAAAGATCATAGATCTATTTGAAGCAAACTTGCATAGCAATTTTGTCAAAAAACTGTTATCATTATTAGATAGGCAAGTATTGTTTGGCAATATTTACCCGAGACTTTCGGGAGCTGTTTCGTTAGCTTACATAACTTATTATGATTAATGTTAACGATTTTATTGTAAGTATAATTACATGTATAATTATATCAATTAATACTGCTCGGTGGCCTTGTGGTAAGTATGAGGAAGTTGTTACATACGATATAGTTAACGTTTAATTGCCTTTCAGTGCGATTGGCTATCAACACAAAGATTGTTTATTAGTTTTCTCTGTGTATCCAATACGATTCTGGCCCCTACTTGTCATACAAAATTACTCTGATTTGCACTTTAACCAGCTGCCAACAATTCACAAGTTACCTGTATGTCAGTCTTATCAGCCATCTGTTACTATTAATAGATTTTATAACAGTAACATATTGCGTGTAGTCACGTGATTCTGGGAGAAGCTGTTTATAATAAATAAGATAAAAAAATAGAATAGGTCTCATAACATACAAACAACCAGATAATTTAAAAGTGTCATTTCAAATATCATGCGTGATTTATTTATCATAAAATAGCAACGCTTGACACTTTGAAAAAAGGAAAAACATCCCTAAATTCAATGACTGATCCACATGGATACGTCATTAATTCATTTCATAAAAATTGTAAAGTTGCTTTTTACGATGTCAATATTTGAATATTTCATTTCATTGAGCAACATTATTGTATGTTTGAATTTTTGAGATTACTGAAAACAATTGTAGTCTTTAATTGTTCAGTAATTGTTATGCTTTTATTTTTAGATTTTAATGCCTTCTCCTACCATAGGTATAATATTAAACTGTTACAAATATAGTCGCCGGTTTCTACCGGCGACTAATCAGAGCACATTTATCGAAAGTTCCAAGTTTTTAATGAAAAAAATATATAATCATATCGAAGAAACATATTCAAAGTTTACTTCACACAATGAATTAGTGCAAACGACTATGCAACCTTATGGAAAATTCCTAAAGTGTTTAATAGATGCCAGCACTATTATAAGTGTTGAGAATTGAGTACCGCTCAAGCCGGTGCTAGGGACGTGAGGCATGTTGCACTTATTCATTATCCCTCATGTACAGACTCAATCAAACCTAGTCTGCAATTTTCATGTAATTTTGTTGTGATTAATGCTTCCGAGGGATCACTTTGTTTCCAGATTTTATACTGCAAAACAGCAGATGTCAAGTGCTGTGTGGCAGCTGAAAAAGTTGCCCTGTACTTTACTTCAGTGTTGTTATATTTTGCTGTTCCTTCGGGATCATTGATGCCAGCACTATTAAGTGTTAAGAATTGAGTGCCGCTCAAGCCGGTGCTAGGGGACGTGAGGGATGTTGCACTTATTCATAATCCCTCATGTACAGACTCAATCAATTAAACCGAGTCTGGTTTTTCATGTAATTTTGTTGTGATTAATGCTTCCAAGGGATCACATTGTTTCCAGATTTTTACAATAAGACACCAACTTCCTATTTCCAACTTGCTATTTTTTTTCTTAAGCATTGACAATTGAAGTAAGAAATGTCATTTTAAATACCTTTCAATGGAACTGGCCAAAATGTTATGAAATCATACAACTAGAAAGTATATTTAATTCAAAATGGCTGCTGCAACAGTCTGAAGGCTTACGCATTTTCGTAAAAAATACACCATTTTCCGGAAACCACCGTCGCCTACCCGTTTGACCGATCTCAATGCAAAATCGCTGCTGCAACAGTCCGACGACAAATTTTTACAGGGATGTATAAACCATATTGTGCTGACCAAAGAAATAAGGTCTCAGGAGGCCCGCAAGGCATACATGTTCCATTTCACGTCCTGAATACGTATACAGCCGACGTATTTTGGTATAAAATAATTAAAAAAATCATAGAAGATATGGAATTAGTGCAGGTTCAATACTGGATTTATTGAACGAGTTGAATAAAATTATAATATGCGAGCCTCTGGCGGGCATTATATCATTTTATTTAAAGATCGAATTCAATAAAATTAGTAATGAGCCGACACGAATATGATAATCAATTTATCGCATATATAAAATAAAGGCTGTTTAAAGTGAAAATCTATCATTTTTATTGACGCGCAACGCTTACATTAAATGATTTAGCGCCTCTTAAACAAATGACGTCATGTAAAAATATATGCACGGCCAAGCAATACCATTTTATGGAGTCACAAACGCAGCAGGGGTATGTGATATTTTAACATTATCCGGAAACTACTGTCATCTACCAGTTTGTCCGATCTCAATGCAAAATGGGTCATTTTTCGATGTTGAGAATTGACCCTGCCAGCAATTTAACATCAAACGTTGATCAAAAAAATGTTGAGAATTGACCAATCGTTAAGTTTTGATAAAAATAAGGTATTTTTGATGGTTAGATACATTTTTATAAAAATAGTAACGCTTGAAAAAAAAAATCTCACAGGCGTCATAAAAAGGATTTCACGTGCAAAATAAAGCTGAGCGTCTGCTACATCAAGCTCCCTCTATCTTTTCTGTACTGTTCAGGGGAAGTAACCGTGACTGGTAGTTTGCTGATACACCACAAACTTTCCCAGCGGCTACTTCCCATGATCAACTGAAACAGAACTGTAACACGTGCGCACGGCCAAAATTTAAATGTACCCATGTGACCAGTACCAAGGCCAAGTTCAACCGTCTATAGTCTTCTACGTTCGTTATTCATTCATTACATATTTTGAAAATTTCCCAATAAATGATATAAATGATTAATGGTTTTGTCTTGGTTGAATGATATGAGATATTAAGCGGGGTATTGGGGAAATTTATCATAATATTTGTGTTCAAGAAACTTATGTACATGCCAGAGCAGAGGTACAGTGCGAATGACCGTAGAAAGGATTTCATAATCAATCACAACGAAAGTGACCTGCGCCGTCCGGGAATCGAACCCGGGTCGCCCGATTCACAGTCCAACGCTCTACCTGAGATAATCGGACGGCTAAAAAGTGGTACATGATGATGAAGTTAAAGCTTAATGAGGATCCATCCGCCTTTTCGGGCACAAAATGCAGCTTGCGCTGTCGAGTACGGACCCCGGACATGTCACCAGTCATGTCCTTAAAGAGTTAATTTTGAAGCACAAAGTGGTGATAATTTACCTCCATGCAATTTCCACGGAGTATTAGCCAAATATATGAATTTCGAGCCAAAAGTAGGTCACTGTACGGCGGTCAATGAGAACCTAAATGTACATTTTGTACAGTAACCTGTGACAATAGGAAAGGTGGTACACCATACTAAGTGAAATTATATATATGTACATAATAATCATTATGCAAATAAAACAATTTTCAAACATCGAAGAATATGTAAAATATGCACAGCAAATTTGTGTGCATATTATATGTAATCATTAAAATATATGCAATCATGTTTTTATTGTAAAATTTGACTTAAACTTTATAGAAAATAAAAATTTTATTACCTCCCTTTATTTACATGTAATGTTAAATTCGGTAATATCTTTATGAATATTTATGAATAATGCTTTTTGGAACCTATAACATTGATAAATCTTAATTTGAGCATCATATTTATGATTTAAAACCATAAAAAATTGTGTTACAAGATCTTTAAATTGTAAACAAATATTATCTTTATATTATGAAGTTAATATCAAATTTACATGGTTTAATGACAGTATAATAGATTAAGGTGAGCAATAAGATAACCCAAATTGTAATCAAGTATTATTTCAAATGTATTTATTTTTATATATCATTTATTTTAATGTCATACTTGTTTAAAAGCCATTAAAGAAACTATGTAGACTGTATGTACATATGAAGATATCGTAAAGAATAGTCTATAACTAATAACTTTAAAGGAGCCTCACTGACGTTGTTTGAATTGACGGGACTGGTACTGGTGTACCCTTTGATTGTCTGGACACATTCATTTATGCGCAAAATTTCAGATTATAGATCATTTGCTTATTTATTTGTCTCAAAATATTTTTTTATGAAGCAAAATGA